ATTTCATAAATTTTTATAAATTTTATAAAACAAAAAATAATAATAAAATAATAAAAATAATAAATGTAATAAAATAAAAATAATAAAATAGAAACAAGTCAGTCAAGAAATTGCAATTTTTAGTTAATTAAGATTTAGAGAATTAAGTAACAGAAAACTTACAGTCATTTAAGAAGTTAATAACGATCATTAAAATAGAAAATTTAACAAACGTTTGATGTCGTCCTTTTAACTACTCTCCCAATTTAATCGTCATTTTACTTTGAAAAAGTAATAATGTCAAGTTTCTCAGAAGGTTTAATATAAGTCGATTCAAAAAGGGAATTTAAATGTTTCTTCATAGTTATGGTTTTGAAGGGACTTTTTGCATTTCAAAGTCTTTTTAGTCTAATAAACCGTCTCTCTCTCTATCTCTCTCTCTCACTCTCTTTCCTTTAAGCGATTTCTCTTTGGCAAAAACAAACGCAAAAGTTTATTTTCAAGCAACTTGATTAAGTTTCTTCGTGGCATTGGTTACATCGTGGAACAAGTAATGTGCTCCATTTGTCGATGTTAATGACATTATAACTGATTGCCTCGTGTCGTGTTTCTTTCCTCTCTGTAATTTACAATTAATTCCAAATATCGAACAATTTTTTAATTACAACAAAGTTGCTAGAAAAAATTAATTTTTATTTTCCCTGATTTTCAGACAAAATTTTCCCTTTTTCCCTGACTAAAGAATATTCTGATTTACTCTATAAAAATGATTAGATAACTCGAAAAAAAAATGTTCTATATTACAATTATTTACGAATTTCTCTAATTGATAAATTATTCGAAAACATATCAATAATTTTATTTAAAATAAATATTTAATCATTACTATTTTTCCGTAAGAATTAAAATTCTTCGAAACATTTAAAATCAAAACTTTTTAAAATTCAATAATTTATAATAATTAAAATTTCCATAAAATTTTTCAAAAAAAAAAATTAAATTATTTACAAAAATTTTAATAAAATTCTTCGCAAGAATTCAAATATTTTTACAAGTACAACAATTTTTCACATCAATTCAATTATTATTATTTAAAAAAATGTAACAAAATTAGTTGTGAGAATTCAATTATTTTCATAAATAATAAAATTTTTCATTGGGATTTCAATTATTTTTAATACAATTTTAAATAAATTCCTCAAAAATGTAATTATTTTCAAAAATTTTTTGCAAGAATTTCAATTGTATTTCACAAATAATAAAATTTTTTGCTAAAAATTCAAATATTTGCAAAATCTACTAATTTAATAAAATTTCTAAAAAGAATGAAATTATTTTTAAAAAATGTAATAAAATTCGTTGCCTAGAAAAATTCAATTATTTTCATAAAAATAAAATTCCTCGGAGAAATTCAATTATTTAAAAAAAATGAAATATTACTTCGTTGCAAGAATCTAATTATTTTTATAAATAATAATATTCTTCACAGAATTTCAATTATTTTTAAAAAAATTTAATAAAAATTCGTTGCCATTTTTTTGAGAAAAATTTTATTATTTATATAAAATATTTGAAATTTTGAAAAAAATTTTTAAAAATTTTTCCACCTAATTGAATTTCCGTGAGGAATTTTATTATTTATAAAGAGAATTGAAATTTTGACGAGAAATTAAAAAATTTTTTGAACATAATTGAATTTTTGCGAAGAATTTTATATTATTTTCGTAAATAATAATATTCTTCACAGGATTTCAATTATTTTTAATACAATTTTATTTAAGTAAATTCTTTGAAAATTGAAATTAATTTTAAAAATTTTATTAAAATTCTTCAAAAGAAATAAATTAAAAATTATCAATTACTTTGAATAATTTTTGCGAAATTTCCTAGAGAATTTTCAAATCCATTTGTTAACAATTTAATTTTACGAATTTTTTATTTTTTAAAAATTCTTCAGTTATTTAAATACAAAAATAAATAATTTATTGAATAAACGAATGTTTCTTAAAATTGAATTCTCATAAAGAATTCGGAAAAAATTGTATTAAAAATAATTGAAATTCTTTGATGAGTTTTTATTTCTTTTTTATTCATAAAAATAATTGAATTATTGCGAAGAAATTTATAAAAATTTGTAAATAGTTAAATTTCTTGTGGAATTTTTATTTTATTATTTATGAAATTAATTTCATATTTGCTTAGAATTTTATTAAAAAATTTTTAAATAATTGAATTTTACAGAAGAATTTTATTATTTTTAAAGATAATGGAATTTCTTTAAAGTTTAAACATTTGTAGTAACTTCTCTAGAATTCAATTTTTTTTACTGTTTTTAACTAAAATTCTTTTATAAATCCATGATTTCTAATAATTAATTAAATTACTATTTTTTATTATACTGATTACTATTTATTTAAATATTCAACTATTTTTTTCAAATATTTCAAATATTTAACAATTTTTTTTACTTATTACTAATTACTATTTTTTTCAAAATATTTAACTACATTTTTACAGTTTTGTTTAGTGGAATCTGGAACAAAAACTTTCATCGAAATACCGTTTTTTTTATTTCTGAAAACATTCGGAATTTTCGTTCCAAATAAAAAAAAATGGTTTTAATGTGTTTTTTTTAACAACAGAATAAAGTGAACGAAGATATCAAAAACATTTTTTTTTTTATTTTATCCTTTACCTTTTTTTCAGTTTCATATTAAATTTCGTTTACTTTTGCATTTGTATATTTATTTTGAATAAAATTAAAAATTTTGTATTTCTTTCTTTGTTTAGTACTTTTGTTTTTCATTTATTCATTGAAAATTTAAATGTTTAACATACGTATAAAAGCTTGCGTATTTGTGTATGAGTGAGTAAATATACGTTCCAGATAGAAACTCGAGAGAATTTAAATCGATGCAATCGTTTATATATCTTTATTGAAAAAAAAGTCGGTCTTTTTTTCACAATTTTTTTTTCTGTTCGAATGAAGGCAGCAGACGGTATTGATAATCTTCTTGAATAAAAAAAATAATAAAAAAAAAAATGTAGAATTGACTGTATGACTATAACTGTTGCGTTACTTTTATTTTATTCTCTTCTGATAAAGACAATTTTTCGAGTGTGGCACTATATTGAAAAAGATTTGAGTGCTCTGTATATATTTAATAAAGTTATTGTAAAATATGAACAATTATATGCTGTTGAAAAATATTCACGAAGATAATAATATTTCTTTTTATTTAATAAAACTTTATTCTTTTTTTTTAAATTTTTTATTCTTTATTTGAAACAAAAAATTATGTTTTCTACAAATTTTTTTTAAAGAATTAAAAAAATAACTAAAATATTTGCAAAATGAAACAAGAAAAGGTATATTTTTTTATTGAATGTCAATAACAAATTCTTTTTCTTTATAAATAAACTAGCATAACTATAATTAAATTTTAAAGCCCGTTTTAGTTACAAAAATTTTTATTTTTAAATTCAATGAAAATTTATTATTTTTTGAAAAAAATATCATTTTTCCAAATCGAAATATACAATTCTTCTAAAATAGATTACATTTCATAACAATTTTTAAAAGAATAAAAATTAAATTAAATTCTTTCAAATATTTCATTGAAATTTGACAATTTAATTGTTTCAATTTTTAAAACTATTTTTTTTTGTCTAAACTTCTGTTGTGACAAGAATTTTATTATTTATTTTATACAATACAAATAATTGAATTTTTTCTAAGAATTTTATTATTTTTATAGAAATAATTTAATTCACTTGAGAAAATTTTTAAGCATTGTATTAAAAATAGTTGAATTCTTATATAAAAAAAAGTTTATTAACATTTTTAAAAATAATTGAATTTGTAAAAAGAATTTTAATATTTATACACAAATAATTGAATTTGTGGCAAGAAATTTATTATTTATGTGAAAATAATTGAATTCTTGAAAAGAATTAAAAAATATTATTCGTTTTTCAGAGTAATTGAATTATTTCGAAGAGTTTTATTTTTGAAAGTAATTGAATTCTTTTGAGAAATTAAATAAAAATTTTTTTTTAAATAATTGAATTTTTAAAAGGAAAAATTGATAATTGAAAATTATGAAAAATTTTGTATAATTTACATAATTATTATAAATTGAACATCTCGAAACATTTGATAGCATAAATAATAAATATTTAATGTAAATAAATGAAATAAAATTGAAGTTAATAATATTATTATTAATAATAATTAATATCTGTTCAATATAAATATTTATATTTCTGATTAAATGCAATTGTCAAGCAACAATATTTAATTAAAGTAATACACGAAAGTATTTTTAGTTTTCATTATTATATTTATTATTAGTTTCAGTTCAATGAAAATAGATAATTGAATAACGATTTTCATAATTATACAACATAATAATTATGCAAGCTTGCAGTAGCAAGAAAAGTGTTTTATTGTATTATATAAACTTACGCATAACGAGCTTTAAAATCTGATCGATTTTCCTGAAAATTACCTGACAGTTGTATTTTCTCTATTATGTTTGTATTTATTATGTTTTTTTATTATTATTTTTTTTTTATTATGTTTGTATTTTTTTTTATTTTTTTTTTATTATGTTTGTATTTTCTCTATTATTATTTTCTCTATTACTGTTTATTAAAATAAATCCACTACTTTATTTATTTTTATATTTTATGAAAAAAAAACAGAAAAAAATTTTTTTTTATTTATTTTTATTTTTTAATAATATTCCTGCATTGACTGAATTGACATATTTTGAATAATTGATAATTGTTAATTTTTAAATTGATAATTTTTTTTATTTTTTTTTTATTTTTTAATTAAAATTCTTAAATTGACTGAATTAACAATTTCAGTGAAAATTATTATTTCCATATTTTGGTATTTAAAATAATGAATAAAATATTGATGGATGAAAAGTTAATAATCCCTTATAAAAATTATTATAATTATTAATTTCACATAAATTTAAAACAAATAATTTTTCCTTTTTTGTTTTCAGGTAAAAAATATGCAGAAGTTCCCAAAGAAAGAATTCCAAAAAAGATAATGTAATTTCCATAATTTTCTTCTCTCCTCTTCTCTCCTTCTAATTCTTTATGATAAATTTTTCGAGAAAAAGAAGAAAAATGAGTTTAAAAAAATTAACGAAATTAAGAAAAAATAAAGTCCCTCCTGCATTAAATATCAGGGAATCCATTGAGGACGAAGAACTGAAACTCAAGACTGATAGAAGTAAGTAAATAATTTATTGTCAAAAATCTTGTCTCTCATCTTTTGTAATATATAAATTTAACTGACCCGACAAAACGTTGCTCTTGTTTCGTATCAAAATTTATTTTTACTCCAAATCAATTTCAATATCTCCCCACAAACTTGTCAGGAGTTATAATTCAATTGTGATATAAAACTATGTTCGAAATTTATTTTTATTTTCAATTCTTTCTCAATATTGTATAATCAATCTTTGAGACCGATTGCTTCTGATAATTTCAAGACTGATTGCTCTTTGATAATAGAAAAATTGTAATTATGTGAATTAATTTTTTTTTTGGAAATTTGTTTTCTTATAAATATAAAAAGAAATAAAGTATAAAGTAAAGTATATAAAATGAAAATAAAATGATGAAATAGAATATTTTTTTAGATAAATATTTAAATACCTACTTATTTTTTAACAGGAATTAAAATATTTTAAATTATTTCAAAGTAAAACAGTTTTGAAATTTAACTATTTTTAAAAATTAAAACTTGAGGCTAAAAATTAAATCTTCCAAAGTTCAATAATTTTGTTATTGAAATTTTCCGAAAAAATTATTCAAAACTTTAGTTATTTCAAAATTTTAATTATTTCACAATGGAAATTTTAATAGTACAGTTTTACAATAATTAAAATTTTCAAAGATTTCAATTTAGAAATCTTTTAAAATTTAATGATTTCCAAAAATTCACAGTAATGTATCGCTTCTAGTATTTAATTATTATCTAAAATTTAAACTGAAATTTAATTTTAAATCAATTTTTATTTGAATATTCTAAGAGAATTCAATTCTTTAAAAACAAAAAAAAAATAATTGAATAATTGAATGTTTCTTAGAATTAAATTCACATAAAAAACTCCATTAAAATCTTCAAAAATAATTGAATTCCTGAGAAAAATTTTACTATTTATAAACATAATTGAATTCTTGCAAAGAATTTCATTCAGAATTTTTTAAATAATTGAATTCTCTTGAAAAATTTTATTATTTAGAAAAATAATTGAATTCTTTAAATACAAAAATGATTGATTCATTGAATAATTGAATTCACTTAAATAATTTTATCAAAATTTTGAAAAATAATTGAATACTTGCAAAGAGTTTTTACAAACTTTTTTTTTGAAATAATTGAATTCTCGTGAAAAATTTTATTATTTAACAAAATAATTAAATTCTTCAAATTCAAAAATATATAATTTATTGAATAATTAAATGTTTCTTAGAATTGAACTCAAAAAAGAATTTTATCAAAATTTTTAAAAATAATATTGAATTCCTGAGAAAAATTTTATTATTTATATAAATAATTCAATTCTTGTGAAGCATTTCATTCAGAATTTTTTAAATAATTGAATTCTCGTGAAAAATGTTATTATTTAGAAAAATAATTGAATCCTTTAAATACAAAAATTATTGATTTATTGAATAATTGAATGTTTCTTAGAATTGAATTTAATTAAATAATTTTATCAAAATTTAGAAAAATAATTGAATTCTTGCGAAGAATTTTATACATTTTTTTTAAATTATTGAATTCTCGTGAAAAATTTTATTATTTAGAAAAATAATTGAATTCTTTAAATTCAAAAATATATAATTTATTGAATACTTTGAGTTTTTCTTAAAATTGAATTTTCAAAAAGAATTCTACCAAAAAATTTCTAAATAATTGAATTATTTAATACTTAATTATAAAAATAATTGAATTCTTGCATCGAATTTAAAAAATTTTTTTAAAATAATTGAATTTCTAAAAATAATTTTATTGTTTCTGAAAAGAATTGATTCCCTGTAAAAAAAATATTATTATTTATGAAATTGAATTCTTGTGAAATTTGTATTATTTATGAAAATAATTAATTTTTGCATAGAATTTTAATAAAAGTTTTTTAAATAATTGAATTCTTTTGGCACATTTTATTGAAACAGTAGATATTAAAAATTATTGTATTAGGGAAAATTTGTGAAAATAATGGAATTCCTGTGAAGAATTTTATTACTTTTAAAAATAATTGAATTTTTGCAACGAATTTTATCAAATTTTTAAAAAATAATTTAATTATTTATTAATAATTGAATATTTCTTTAATTATCCTTCACAAAAATTGAACTGTTCTAGTTATTATACTTCAAGGGAACATTTAACAATAGTTCTTATTCATTACTGTATACATTCACTCTTATGTTTTCAACTATACGCCGAATTTTAATTTTATTATACATTATTTAATTACATTTTAATATTAAACATTAGGTACACAAACTTCTCCTCTGAAAACAACTATTTATAAAGAAAATGGACACAGAGGATTAATTCAATCTATTTTGTAAAGTCGATTAAATTTGCTCCATATTCTGCGACAGCTGGGAAAAGAGGAAATATAAACACATATATATGTAGAATACGAATTGTCATGGGAAAGAATTAATATATCAAATAATAATACCTACTCTGCAACAATATTAATTTCACTTTATTACTGAAATTTTAAATTAAAAATTTTAAACCATTGGTAAATTTTATTTCAAAGACTTTTAACGCAAATTTTTTTTTTTATTTTTACCGCTTTTATAAAATAAAAAAGTATAAAACGAAAATTCATTTCTATTTTGCAGGTGAAATTTGAAATTTTGTCCCAAATTTAATCAAAAAGAATTTTTCACTGGAAATTAATTAAATTAAATTTAAAAAAATATAAATTTTCATTGAAATTATTCTTGAAATTATTAGAGATGGGAAAAAAAAACTATAACATTATTTTCTCTGCAGAATATAATAGACTTTTTTACGGATTCGTTACTTCTTTATAGAGAATATAATTATTGATACATATATTCTTTCTTTCTTTTTTTTTTGTTGAAATAGAATAATGGTTTTTAGTAAATCCATATAACCATGACAATAGTATTGAACGGGGATTAATATTCTTTTTCCAGAATTAAAAAATGAATATCTACTATATGAGGCTGTGATAAAAAATGAAGCGGACTCCGTTCGCAAAGTGCTCAAAGAGACTGTCGACGTAGATACCAGAAACAATGTAAGTCACAATCCTTTTACATATTCCACTTTTTGCGGGTCGCATGCATAATCACTCACAATTTGCTGTGTTTAAGTGATGAAGTCTCAACTCTTAACAGAGCTTTAAAAAATTCCCTAACTCATCAATATTCCCACACTTGTACTTCTCATTAAAAAAAAAAAAAAAAAAAAAAAATTCATGGTTACATCAAAATTTTTTCATCATCTTTATATCATTACGCATCTGTAATTTTATTATTTTAATTATTTCCTACTCAACCAACCATGATATTTTTTAAAAATAAAAATTAAAAAAAAAATTAAATTAAAAAAAAATTTTTAATTATAAAGGAATTAAAAATTTAAAAAAAATTAAAAATTGGTAATTTTTATTAAGTGTTCAATTAGTATTGATATTTTTTTATCTTTTTCAGTTCACGGTTTTGATAAGGATATCAAATTGAGACAAAAAAAGAATCAAAAAAGTTGCTTCGCAACATTTTTCATTCGCTTTTTGTCTCAATTTAATATCTACAAAAAAAAATGTGATTGTCTGGAATTTTTAAAATTTTCAATCAAAATTGTTAATTGCTACTTTTATTTCGAAATTTTGTGAAATTTACTCTATCGATGAAAATTTCAGTAAAAAATAAGTAAAATTTTCAATGAACTTGGTAAAAATTCCTTCAAACATTTATAGTAAAATTTACTAATTACTATTAATATTTACTATGTCCAGAAATTTACAATATTCCAAAACAATTTTTTTTTCATAAAAATTAGAAAAATTTACTCTTTGAAAATAGTAAAATTTATTATAAAAATAAGAATTTTTAATAACTAATATATACCATGATCGAGGAAAATTTGAATAATTTTTATACCAAAACTTAACGTTAAAAATAAATTCAGTGATATGCCACACAAAAATTTAATTTTGTATTTCCCTATCTTTTTCCTGATTTTAAGATAAAATTTTTACTTTTTCCCTGATTCACTGTAAAGATGATTAACTACTCAAAAAAATGTTCTAATTTATTTATTTGCGAATTTTTTTTTTAATTTTTATTATTTTTAAAAATAATTGATTTTTTGCGAAGAATTTTATTCAAATTTTTTTAAATAATTGAATTCTCGTGAAAAATGTTATTGTATAGAAAAATAATTAAATTTTTTGAATATGAAAGTAAATAATTTATTGAATAATTGAATCTTAGAATTGAATTCACTTAAGTAATTTTATCAAAATTTTGAAAAATAATTGGATTCTTGCGAAGAATTTTATTCAAATTTGTTTAAATAATTAAATTCTTGTGAAGAATTTTATAAATTCTTATAAAAAATGTTATTATTTGGAAAAATAATTTAATTCTTTAAATACGAAAAATTAATAATTTATTCAATAATTGAATGCTTCTTAGAATTGAATTTACATAAAGTATTTTATCAAAATTTTATAAAATAACTGTATTCATAAACAATTTTTATTATTTTTAAAAATAATTGATTCTTTGTGAAGAATTTTATTCAAATTTTTTTAAATAATTGAATTCTCGTGAAAAATATTATTGTATAGAAAGATAATTAAATTTTTTAAATATAAAAGTAAATAATTTATCGAATAATTGAATGTTTCTTAGAATTGAATTCACTGAAATAATTTTATCAAAATTTTGAAATTTTTTGAAATTTTATCAACGAATTTTTAAATAATTGAATTCTTTTGACGAATTTTAATAAAATTTTTTAAGAATAATTACGATGAGATTTATTAGTTATGGAAATAATTAAATTCATGAAAAGATTATTATTATTATTTATAAAAATAATTGAATTATTGGCAAAGAAAGTTGTAAAAAATTTGTAAATAATTTAATCCCTGAGAAAATTTTTATTTTTTATAGAAATAATTGAATTTTTTCAAGAAATTCAGATAAAATTGTATTAAAAATAATTGAAATTCTGCGATGAGTTTTATTATTTATGAAAATACTTGAATCCCTGTAAAAAAAATTTATTACTAAATGAAAGTAATTGAATTATTGCGAAGAAATTTATAAAATTTTTATAAATAATCGAATTCCTGGGAAATTTTTATTATTTATGAAAATAATAAAATTAAATGTTTACTTAGAATTTTATTTAAGTTTTGTTTAAATATATTTTCGTTAATGGTATTAATACCTATAGTAGATATTGAAAATTTGAAATAGTTGAAGAATTTTATGAAAATTTTTGAAAAAGAAAAATGATTTTTGGAGAAGAATTTTATTATTTATTTAAAGATAATTGAAATTTTGACGAGAATCCCCTGACATTTTTCTGATTTCAGTTTGTAAATAGTAAAAGTTACTATAAATTTATTGTTACATTTTATAAAAAAATTTCCAAGTTCAAAAACTGTGAAATATAATATAAAAAGTTTTTTATTACTTTTATTAATTTTATTTTTTAAATAAATTTTATTAATTTAAAAATCGAAAAAATAGAAAAAAGTGGAAAAATGAAAATCAGGTATAAAAGTGAATTATAACCGTGATTCCTGCTTTTTATACCCACACTATAAATTTATTTATAATTTATTTACTTATTTATTTACATTTACAAAAAAAAATGTAAATAAATCTCGGGAAAGAATTTAAATAATAAAAAAGAGAATGATGAATATTCCCATCTACATATACATGGAAACACAATTCTCACACACATGTGCATACTTTTTTTGTTGTTCACGTTTTGTTCCACTGCATTGTGCAAACACAATTCATTTCCCTCGAAATTCACAGCACGTTTTATTCCCGTACTGAGAAAATCAATTAACCCAAAAAATATACGTATATGTATTTTTTTTATACAGTATGGTCGTGCTCCCATTCATTTGGCAGCATCGAAAGGAAACACGGAAATTATCGAAATGCTGATGCAGTATAAATGTGATATTGAAGTTATAGATAAGGTATGTTTTCTATAATCTTACATCTATTCGTTTCTTTTCCTTGTATCTTTTATGTATTTTTAAAAAATTTTTTCTCCTCTTTGTGCCTCGATAATTAAAAAAGAAATTAAAAATTAAAAAAATTTTAAAAGTTAAATAAAAACTAAACAAAAATTAAATTAAAAATTAAAAATTAAAAAACTCGATAATTAAACTAAATTAAATATAAACTCTTGGTGTGTTTTTTGAAAATGAACAATTAGAATAATTAAATAAAGGAATTAATTAAAAAAATTTCATGTAAATATTTCATGTAAATATACCATGTAAATATCGAAGTAAAAAAAGAGTTTTAGTAAGGCAAAACTTTTACAAACTTTCGTAATACTCTCGTTGTATATAATATTGTATAGAATGTAAAATGAAAGTAGTAAAAGTTAATTTCAGCCAGACAGAGTTTAACTAAATTATAGAAGAACGTAACAATTTTTGTAATTTCTCCTCCAACAGTAAAAACGAATTTTAGTGCAAAAAAAGCTTTTTTTCTATTTTTATATAAAAATAGTAAATGCATTTTAAATTCTTGGAAATATGAAACAAAGTAGTAGAAGTCAATTTTAATCAGACAGAGACTGAACGTCACTGTAACACGTTCACTAGTAGTTAGGGAATTTTATAGTCAGACAAAATCAGTAGTCAATGAATTTTTTAGTCAGGCATAATTTTCCTTTATTGTAAATATGGAATAAGTATAGTAAAAGTCAATTGCAGTCAGACTAACCTTTCATAAAGAGAATAAAAAAGTGTCACACGAGTAGTAAAGGTCAATTTTAGTCAGACAAGATTTAAATTCTTATAAATATGAAATAAGTAGTAGAAGTCAATTTTTAATCAGGCAGAGATTAAACGTTACTGTAACACGTCCACTAGTATAGTTACGGAATTTCACAGTCAGACAAAACTAGTAGTCAAAAGGTTTTTTAGTCAGACATAACTTTTCTTTCTTCTTGTAAACAGAGAATAAGTAGTAAAAGTCAATTACAGTCAGACTAAACGTTTACACAAAGAAGAAAAAAAACTTATCACAAGTAGTAAAAGTCAATTTTAGTCAGACAATATTTTAATTCTTCTGAATATGAGACAAGTAGTAAAAGTCAATTTTTAATCAGACAGAGAATAAACGTCACTGTAACACGTCTACTAGTAGTTAAGTAATTTTATAGTCAGACAAAATTAGTAGTCGAAGAATTTTTTAGTCAGACAGAATAATTAAATTTTTAAAATATGAAAGTAAATAATTTATTGAATAATTAAATGTTTCTTAAAATTGAAATCACTCAAATAATTTTATAAAAATTTTGAAAAATAATTAAATTCTCGAGAAGGATTTTACTCCTATTTTTTCAAATATTTAAATTCTAATAAAAAATTTTATTATTTGGAAAAATAATTGAATTCTTTAAATGCGAAAAATTAATAATTCATTAAATATTTGAATGTTTCTTAAAATCGAATTTTCATGATGAATTTTATCAATGAATTTTTAAATAATTGAATTTTTTGACTAATTTTAATAATTAAGTTTAAGAACAATTAGTAGTAAAAGTCAATTGCAGTCAGACAAAATTTGTCTTTCTTCATGTAAATACAGAATAAGTTGTAAAAGTGAATTGCAGTCAAACTAAACGTTTATGAAGAGAATAAAAAAATTATTTCAAGTAGTAAAAGTCAATTTTAGTCAGACAAGATATAAGTTTTTCCTTGTCTGAATAAAAGTATATATTCTTGTATATATTTGCTAAAATGAGTAAATTGCTAATAATAATAATAATAATAATAATAATAATAATAATAATAATAATAATAATACAAATAATGATAGTAATTATAATAATAATAATAATAATAATAATAATAATAATAATAATAAATAATAAATTTTAGTCAGCCCAAACTTTTTTAAATCACTGCAATTATTATTTAAGTAGTAAAGACCAATTTCAGTCAGACAGAAGTTACTTAATTCCTTATGAAAATCTAAAATAAGTAGTTCATGTCAATTTTAAACTCTCAAGATACTTAAAACTTATTGCAATTTTTCAACCAGTAGTCAAAGAATTGTATAGTCAGACAAAATTTGTCTTACTTCTTGTAAATACAGAATAAGTAATAAAAGTCAATTGTAGTCAAACTAAACGTTTATAAAGAGAATAAAAAAAATTATTTCAAGTAGTAAAAGTCAATTTTAGTCAGACAAGATATAATTTTTTCCTTGTCTGAATGAAAGTATATATTCTTGTATATATTTGCTAAAATGAATAAATTGCTAATAATAATAATAATAATAATAATTAATTATAATAATAATAACAATAATAATACAAATAATAATAGTAATTATAATAATAATAATAATAAATAATAAATTTTAGTCAGCCCAAACTTTTTTAAATCACTGCAATTATTATTTAAGTAGTAAAGACCAATTTCAGTCAGACAGAAGTTACTTAATTCCTTATGAAAATCTAAAATAAGTAGTTCATGTCAATTTTAAACTCTCAAGATACTTAAAACTTATTGCAATTTTTCAACCAGTAGTCAAAGAATTGTATAGTCAGACAAAATTTGTCTTACTTCTTGTAAATACAGAATAAGTAATAAAAGTCAATTGTAGTCAAACTAAACGTTTATAAAGAGAATAAAAAAAATTTTTCAAGTAGTAAAAGTCAATTTTAGTCAGACAAGATATAATTTTTTCCTTGTCTGAATGAAAGTATATATTCTTGTACATATTTGCTAAAAAGAATAAATTGTTAGTAATAATAATAATAATCAAAGAAATTAATTTATTAAATAATTGTGGAAGAATTTACTAAATATTTAAATAATAATAATAATACCTAATAATAACAATAATATTTCAAAATACTTAAAACTTATTGTAATTTTTCAATCAGTAGTCAAAGAATTGTTTAGTCAGACACAACTTTTCTGAATTCATTGTAAACTGAAAATAAGTAGTAAAAGTGAATTGCAGTCAGACTAAACGTTCATAAGGAGAATAAAAAAATGTGTCGCAAGTAGTAAACGTCAATTTAAGTCAGACAAAACAAAAGATAGTTTCGCTCTAACTAATAAGTTAATAACGTTTCAATTTCTTGTACTTTTGCCTCCCCAGTAGTAAAAACAGTTATAATCAGTCAGACTGGAATAAACTGTTAAAATAACATTTTCAGTAGAGTAGCTGAGATAAAGTCAGACATTTTATTGTTACATAAGATGTCATTTAAATCCTCCGCTCTTTTTTCTGTTTGTATAATAAAGTCTAAGGAAACAAAATATCCCTTATTTTGTGCTTACATAAAATTATGTAATCGCTTTTACATAATTATTTGTTCATACAATTAAATAAATAAATATAATTTATTTATGTCAGATTATTTATATTGTAATTTTATTTATAATAAAAAAAGATTTATAATAATAAAAAAAAATTGAAATTAATATTTGATAATTGACACACAACGAAAAATGAATAAAATTCTCTACTTGAATATGGAAAAATAGTTTTCTATTAAAGTGGAGAATTTTATTGATAAAATATTAGAAAAACATTTTGTATATCGCATCTGAATATATGTATATTATTTTCAAAAATAGTTCCCATCAATATCTATATATGCAATACAGAATAAAAAGCTTCAGCTCCAAAAATGGATATTAAAATACAATTTAGAATAACGGGAATTTTTATCCGTGACACTAAAATCCATCTTTTTATGTTAAATATGGATCGTGTGCTAAAAGCGTTCTTTATGCAAAATGCATTTATTGGCTAAATACATCGCTTACTGAAGCAAATGCATTTTTTATACTCGAGACATCGTATCTTCATCTCACGCTCAAATTCACTCTGAGCACATTTCCTAATTTTTTATTTTGATTCGTCGTCTTCGTCGTCGTCTTTCGCAGAAGAAAAAAGTAAATTATTTAAAAAAAGTCTTCTCATACTTGTGATATTTTTGTATAATTAAATTTTCCTCCTTTGCGGTAATAAATTTATAAACATGGAAATTGGAAAATGGCAATTGTAATTATAATTATAGAAATTTAGGAGCATTGACCATTTTACGCAATAAAATCGAAATTTAAAAATTTTTTTTCAACTAAATATATTTTATAATTTTATAATTTTAATATATTTCATAATTGAATTAATCAAAGTTTTAATTAAATCATCAAACTTCTTTATGTATTGAATTAAAAATTTATTTTGTTTAATTCAAAATTTTTTTTTTTTTAAGAAAATAGAATATTATTAATTTTTTTTTTTTTAATACAAAATGTGCAGAATGGAATGCGACCGCTACACATGGCTGCGTGGCATGGCCATCGGGAAGCTGTGAAAATGCTAATAAATGCTGGAGCAAACGTAACGGCAGTAAATAAGGTTTGTAATTTTCAACCATAATTCATGCAGTGTTCCCACAGAAATTTAATTTTGTTTTTTCCTGACTTTTCCCTGATTTCCAGACAAAATTTCAACTTTTTTCCTGACCCTAACGAATATTCTGATTCACACTAAAAAATTATAAGATGTTCAAAAAATGTTTTATTAGATTTATTTAATTTAATTATAAAATTCTTCGTAAACAATCAATAACTTTATTTATAAATAAATATTTAATTATTATTTTTCCGTATAAATTAAAGTTTTCTAAAACATTCAAATTTAAACCTTTTTGAAATTCAACAACCGGTTCCTGAGAATAATTTTATTATTTTTAAAAATAATTGAATTCTTGCAAAGAATTTTATTCAAATTTTTGTTAAATAATTGAACTTTCGTGGAAAATTTTATTAATAAAAAAAATATTTGAATTCTTTACATTCAAGAATAAATAATTTATTGAATACTTAAATTTTTTTTTAAATTGAATTCTCCTAAAGAATTTTATCAACAAAATTTTAAATAATTGAATTCTTTTGACGAATTTTATTAAAATTTTTAAAAATAATTACATTTTTCGGGAAATTTGTTTAAAATTGTATTAAAAATCATTGAAATTCGCCGATCAGTGTTATTATTTATTAAAATAATTAAATTCATAAAAGAAATGTCATTGTTTATGAAAATAATTAAATTATTACGAAGAAATTGTTAAAGAATTTTATTCTTTAATTTTAATTTTAGTTTAATGTTAATTTAATTTTAATTAAATTTTAAAGAAATTTTTAACTTAAAAAATCTGTAAATTATTGAATTCCTGAGAAAATTTTATTAATTTTAAAAATAATTGAATGCTTGTGAAGATTTTTATTATTTAGAAAAACAACTCAATTCTTTAAATATAAAAATAAATAATTTATTGAATAATTTAATGTTTCTTAAAATTGAATTCACATAAAGAATTTTATCAAAAAATTTTTAGGAATAATTAGGATGAGTTTTATTATTGAAAAAAAATGAATTATTGCGAAGAAATTTATAAAAAAAAATTGTAAATAATTGAATTGATGAGAATAATTTTATTATTTATGAAAGTACTTGAATTCCTAAAAAGAATTTTATTATTTATGAAAATAATTGAATTTTTGCGAAGAAATTTATAAAAAGAATTTGTAAATAATTGAATTCCTGAGAAAAGTTTTATTATTTATAAAAATAATTAAATTCTCGAGAAGGATTTTATTCAAATTTTTTTAAATAATTGAATTCTCGTAAAAATTTTTAATATTTAGAAAAATAATTGAATTCTTAAAATACAAAAATAAATCATATTTTAAATAATTGAATGTTTCTTAGAATTGAATCTTCATAAAGTATTTTTATGAATTTTTACAAATTTTAAATAATTGAATTCTTTTGAGGAATTTTAAAAAATTTTTTTTAAGAATAATTACATTTTTAGAGGAATTCGATTAAAATTGTATTAAAAATTATTGAAATTCTACGATGAGTTTTATTATCTATTTTTGAAAATAATTGAATTATTGCAAAGAAATTTATAAGAAAATTTGTAAATAATTGAATTACTGCGAAATTTTTATTATTTATAAAAAAAAATAAATGTTTACGTAGAATTTTATTAACATTTTTTTAATAATTGAATTCTTTTAGAAAATTTAGTTAAAATAGTAGATATTGGAAATCATTGACTTGAATAAAAAATTATTCTAGTGTAAACGGTTTTAGACAAAAGTGGGCCAAAGGTAAAATTTATTTTCTATAGTGAAATATTAATTTAAATTTTCAATTTAAAGAAAAAGAAATTTATAATTTAATTTTTTTTTATCAGCTACTATAAAAAATTTACCACTCTCTTGAGAATTAAAATTTTATTTATGTTTCCAATTCTAATAAAAAAAAACGAGAAAACGAGAAAAAATATGCCTTTAAATACGAGAGGAATCCGCTAATTTTTTATTTACGACGAATATTTATAATTGATATCACTATAAAGTGCAATTATTGGAATATAAAATTTTCACATATCCTCGTCTACTTTAATCCACTAATTAGTAATTATTCTCCAAATTTATTAGGGCAGATTGTAATATTTAACTATAATGAAAATTTAATTCCTATTATATTATATTCTCAATTGTATAAATTTTAAAAAGTAATTTAAAAAATAAACGAGAATTAGAATTCAAGCGTTGGTTAGAATGAAATCGATAATAATATGAATATCTAGGAAAGTTCAGCGATGTATAACTGAAGATTAACGATCTGATAAGAGTCACTTTTCCATTCTCTGAAAAAAAACACTTTTCGAAACATAAACGACTAAAACAATGATAACATTATTATTAAACAATATAATTATTATATGCTGATCAAAATTATCAACTTTGAAATCTTCAGATTTTGAAAACTGATAGAAACACGACATACAATTAATTTAAACGATAATTAGGTATATTATCAGATAATTTTATTTTTATTCATTTTTAAGGTCGTTTTATATTTAAAAATTTCTATACAACTTTTAGTCTTAATTTTAGTAAAAAATGTTTATTTATTTTATGTTAAAAATTGGTTACACTAAAATGCTTTTTCTTAATTAAAAATAGAACTAAGTGGTTTTGGTAAAAGTTTAACGTAAGTTCCTTTTATGTCAGAGTGAGTAGTTTCGTGTTCAACAATATCATAAAATTTTCAGTATCTTGGATCACTTTTTGTTACAAAACATTAACGTCCAATGGACTTCTAAATGAAATTTCCAAATTCCAAGGCCTTCATTTATATTCTATGGGAGCCTAACTGTTTCAAACAAATGGTTCCTCTGCGGAACATTTAGATAGAATTTTCTTCAAATGTTTACCTTTCCTTCTCACCTTTCCATAAAAAAAAAAGAAAAAGAAAGAAAAAGAAAGAGTAGAAAATGGAAAAAAATTCTTGATTTCCCTAAAGAAAGAAAATCCTATTTTACTTCAAAAAAAAGGAATAATATTTTTAACTCCAAGAATATATATAATATTACTGGCAAAAATTTCACAACTTCATGAATAAAATTCAAGTGGATTAATATTTCTCAGAAACAAAATACATATTCAAGTTGGTATTCTCTTCAAAAGAAGGGATTTTAATGATTTATATCCAAAGGTAGATCCTTTTGTTGTAGATCTCTTTTAAAATATATATTTTTTTCAAATCTTTTATACTCTTTTTGGTATTTTATATTTTTCCGAGTGCAGATAAAAGTCACCTTTAGTGAGGTAAAACATTTTAATGAATAGTAGAAGAAATGAGAGAATTGGAATTTTTTTTTTTATTAAAAATAAAGTAGTATAAATCCGCTTTAGTCAGACGTGGATTTTTTAATGTCGTATAATTTCGCTTCTGGTAGTAAAATATTAACTCACTCTTTAAAAATAGAATCAGTGAATTTCGACTTATAGTCAATGACTATTCACTGAAAATCAATTCAATTTTTAATTTATTTTGTTCGAAGATAATTATTTTCGAACAAAAACAAATCTTATAAAAATTAATTTTCAAAAATTATAGTGAAACAATTATAAGACTCAGTTTTTAAAAAATATTGCAATGTAATTTTACGAAAATAATTGATTTTCTTTAAAGAATTTTTGTACAATTTAAAAGAAAATAATTTTTTATCTACCATTATTAAAAATAATTGAATTTTAAAAAATGACAAGAAAAAATTCCTGTAAGTATTACTTTTTTGAAAAATATTTTAATATAATTTTTAGAAGCTAATTTTCATTAATTTTCATATATTTATAAATTTACACTTGAAGATTTTTCATTGACATTTTTGAGAATTCAATTTTATTTTCAAAATTTCCAATTAAAACTCCTCAAAAGTTGATTTTTAAAAATTGTAATAAAATACTTGAAAAAATCAATTATTTTTAGTTAAAGTTTACAAAATTTCAATTATTGAAAAAATTTTTTAATTGTATATTTTAAAAATTTAATTAGAAAAATAATTCAAAAATAATTTTTGAAAGCAAGGCCCTTGCCAAAACTTCAATTAATAATAATAATAAATAAATTAATTAAATTATTATTAATAAATTAATAATAATAAAATTCATTCTAGAAATTCAATTATTTTCAAAAGTACGAAAATTCTTTACAGAAATTCAATTATTTTCAAAATTTTTTTTTAAATTCTCAAAATTTCAATTATGTTTATAAATATCAAAGTTCTACTGCAAAATTTAATTACTTAAAAAAAAATCTATTCAAAATTTCAATTATCATTGTGAATAATAAAATTCTTCTCTAAAATTTAATTGTTTGCAAAGAAATTTAATAATTAATTCTTGTCAAAATTTCAATTATCTTTATAAATGATAAAATTCATTGTAGAAATTCAATTATTTTCATAAATAATAAACTTTATCCTGGAAATTTAATTATTTTCAAAAGTTCTGATAAAATTCTTTGCAAAATTCAATTATCTTCAAAAGTACGAAAATTCTCTACAGAAATTCAATTATTTTCAAAATTTGTTTTTATATTCTCAAAATTTCAATTATTTTTATAAATGTCAAAATTCTTCTGCAAAATTCAATTACTTTTTTAAAAAAATCTGTTCAAAATTTCAATTATCTTTGAGAATAAAAATATTCTTCTCTAAAATTCAATTATTTGCAAAGAATTTTAATAAAATTCTTGTCAAAATTTCAATTCTCTTTATAAATAATAAAATACATTCTAGAAATTCAATTATTTTCAAAAGTAATAAAATTCTTTTCTAAAATTCAATTATTTGCAAAGAATTTGAATAAAATTCTTGTCAAAATTTCAATTATTTTCATAAATAATAAAATTCATCCTGGAAATTTAATTATTTACAAAAGTTCTGATAAAATTCTTTGCAAAATTTAAATATCTTCAATAGTAAGAAAATTCTTGTCAGAAATTAAATTATTTTCAAAATTTTTTTTTAAATTCCCTTCAAATTTTTAATTATCTTTGTAAATATCAAAATTCTTCTCCAAAATTTTTTTTAAAATTTCAGTCGCATTTTACTAAAAAAAAATTTGGATAAGTCGATTAGTCGCATTTTTTCACAAAAAAGTCAAAAAAAAGTCACATTTCCTTAGAAAAGTCGAAAAAAGTCGAAAAAGTCGTACAATCCGAGCCCTGACGTTTCAGTCAGACGGAAGAATTAAATTTCTAATACAATCTCGAAATAAGTAGTAGAAATTAAATTTAGTCGGACAGAAATCGTCAGAACAATTAAATTTCAAATAGAATCTAGAAATAAGTAGTGAAAACCAGATATAGTCAGACATAAGTTTTCTAAATTCTCGTAGTATTAGAATCAATAGTTTAAGGCTGTTTTTATTTGACACGACGATTAAAATCTATAAAATCGAAAACTAAGTAGTATGAACCTCGCTTAGTCAGACATGATTTTTTTTAAATCCTGCAAATCCAGTAATTTTTCTAATTTAGAAATAAAAAATGTTGTTTTATTCGAAAAAAAACTGCAAAGTAAATATGAATAAATAAATCGAAATATTTTCGAACTAAAGAAATACTTTTTAGTCAGACGGAACAGTTATATTTTAAATTAAATTACAAATAAGGAGAAAGTAACAAAATGTAGATTGAAATTGAAAAGTAAGTAGTATGAACCTCGCTCAGTCAGACATAATTTTTTCAACTCCTCTAAAACGAGTAATTTTTTTGTGAAAATAATTAAAAAATATTGTTTTAGTCGAAAAAACTGCAAAGTAAATATATGAATAGAGAAATGGAAATATTTTCGAAACAAGTAGTAGAGATACGTTTTAGTCAGACGTAAGAGTTATATTTCAAATTAAATTACAAATACATCTTTTAATAAAAATTCTTATATTTATATATAGGAAAATTTATGAAATATCTAAAAAATAAAAATAGAAAAATGTATAAAAAGATATAGAGATAAATAAAAAGTTATATAATTGAAAAATAAAAAACAGGAAAATATGTAAAAATACATAAAAGAATTTTCTGTTGAACACAGAAAGAATGCACGCTCCTCATGTGTGGCGCTCGAGGTGGCAGTGCAGAAGTGGTAAACTATCTCGCCGAAGCTTTAGAGTCATTAAATGGGGACGCGACTGATTGCACAGGAGCAACGGCAATTCATCATGCGGCCAATGCTGGACATCCATCAACAATAACAGCTCTCTCAAATATTCCTGGAATTAAATTGGAAACTAAGGACAAGGTGAAAACAAAATCAATACTATTTTTACACATTTTACAAATTACATCATTTTCATTATATTGTACAATCACATTTTTCCTTATATTCTTTTTCCAATTTTCTATATATATATATTTATTTATTTATTTATTTATCGCACGAGAGCTATAATGAAAAAGTAAATCAACAATTTTCTCCCTTTCAGTGTTAATAAATATTTACTGTAATTCCTGATAAAATGTTAATAAAAAAGAAACATTCCACAGACCCCGGGAAATATATAGTCTTACAAGTATTTCTTAATTAAGACATTCCTGATATCTTGGGGCTTTTTATTACACGAATAAAATCGCTCTATGACTTCATTTACATTCGCCTGGAACATTTTTTACTTATTTAAAAATTCTCTTCGGAACTTTTTCTCCCGTTTGCCTACGTGGAAAATTTTTATTTTTTCTTTATTAGTTTTTTTTTAAATATTTTTATTCTTTTGACTATTTTTATTTTTTCTTTATTAGTTTTTCTTTAAATATTTTTATTTTTTGGACTTTCGAGAGGAACGATTGTGTTTTTGTTAGTTGCTTTTATTTTAACTTTTTATAAACGGTTTTTCTAAGGATATCAAATTGAATTCTTGTATGGAAGTGTAAATAAGAAAAATAAAAAGTTTTTTAAAGTAAAATAAAATATTTATTTCACTTTAAAAAAAGTTATTTTCTTTAATTAAACTAATTTTTTTAACCTATGAATATCTTCGTATTTAATTAAACTGAAAAAGTTGGAAAAAGAATTTACATAATTTTTGAGACAAGAAAATATTTTTTTGAATTCAAATAAATTAATTTTGCTTACATGAAACAAATTTAAAAACAATAATTTGGTTTAATGCACAGCAAATATTTTCAAAATTTATAATAAAATTCTTAAAAAATTCAATTATTTTCAAACATTTTAATCAAATTCTTTAAAAAATTCAATTTACAATATTTTAATAAATTTCTTAAAAATCATAATTATTTTTAAAAACATTTTTTTAAATTCAATTATTTCAACAATTTTAATTAAATTCTTAAAAAATTCAATTATTTTAAACAAATTCAAACTTTTTCAAAAATTTCAGTAAAATTCTTAAAAAATCGAATATTTTTAAATATTTCAATAAAATTCTTAAAAACTTCAAATATTTTCAAGATATTTAATGAAATTAAAGAAAATTCAATTACTTTCAAAGATTTTAATGAAATTCTTAAAAAATTAAATTATTTTCAAAAACTTTAATGAAATTCTTAAAAAATTCAATTATTTTGAGAAACTTTAATAAAATTCTTTAAAACTTCAATTATTTTGATAATTTTGTATTAAATTCTTAAAAAAGTGAAATATTTTAAAAAATTCCAGTAAAATTCTTAAAAAATTCAATTATTTTCAAAAACTTTAATGAAATTCTTAAAAAATTCAATTATTTTGAGAAACTTTAATAAAATTCTTTAAAACTTCAATTATTTTGATAATTTTGTATAAAATTCTTAAAAAAGTGAAATATTTTTAAAAATTCCAGAAAAATTCTTAAAAAATTAAATTATTTTCAAAAACTTTAATGAAATTCTTAAAAAATTCAATTATTTTGAGAAACTTTAATAAAATTCTTTAAAACTTCAATTATTTTGATAATTTTGTATAAAATTCTTAAAAAAGTGAAATATTTTAAAAAATTCCAGTAAAATTCTTAAAAAATTCAATTATTTTCAAAAACTTTAATGAAATTCTTAAAAAATTCAATTATTTTGAGAAACTTTAATAAAATTCTTTAAAACTTCAATTATTTTGATAATTTTGTATAAAATTCTTAAAAAAGTGAAATATTTTCAAAAATTCCAGAAAAATTCTTAAAAAATTCAATTATTTTCAAAAACTTTAATGAAATTCTTAAAAAATTCAATTATTTTGAGAAACTTTAATAAAATTCTTTAAAAGTTCAATTATTTTGATAATTTTGTATAAAATTCTCAAAAAAGTCAAATATTTTAGAAAATCACAGTAAAATTCTATAAAAATTCAATTATTTATAAAAAATTTAATTACCTTGAAGAATTTAAATCAAATTCTTAAAAATTACAATTGTTTAAAAAATTTAATAAAATTCTTAAAAAATTCAAATATTTTTAACAATTTTAATAAAATTCTTAATAATTATTTTGAAAAAATTTTTTTGAAAAAATTTCATTAAAATTCTTTAAAAAATTCAATTATTTTCAAAAATTGTACTAAATTCTTTAAAAATGTAATTATTTTAAACAATTTTAATAGAATTTTTCAAAAATTCAATTATTTTCAACAGTTTTAATTAAATTTTTTAAAAATCTAATTATTTTCAATAATTTTTATTGGATTTCAAAAAAAATTCAATTATTTTCAACAGTTTTAATTAAATTTTTTAAAAATCCAATTATTTTCAATAATTTTTATTGGATTTATTAAAAAAATTAAATAATTTTAAAAATTTCAGTAAATTCTTAAAAATTTCGATTATTTTTAAAAATTTCAATAAAATTCTTAAAAAATTCAATTATTTTAAAGATATTTAATAAAATTCAAAAAAATTTAATAATATTCTCAAAAAATTACAATATTTTCAACAATTTGAATAAAATTCTTAAAAAATGCAATTATTTAAAAATATTTCAATAAAATTCTTAATTTCAAATAATTTTTTAAAAGTTTTATTTTTTCTTTAGATATCTTTACTTTTCAGAGTTTGGATAATAAACGCCTCTATTTTTGAATAATAATTTTCAGGAATTATTCCTATTTTTGTTACTTCCTTTTATTTAAATTTTTATAAACTGTTTTTTAAGGATATCAAATTAAATTCTTGTATCGAAGAGTAAAGTTTCTTCTTTAATAATCATCATCTTTAATAATCATCTTCTTTAATCACATTTTTTTTGTTCATTTTTTGTAAATTCAAATGAAGAACGAAAAATTTTTCTTGGAAAAATTTTTTGTTTTTTATTTGTATAATGAAGAACAAAAAATTTTTCTTGAAAAAATTTTTTGGTCTTTATTTGTATTTACAAAAAATAACCAAAAATGGATTATTTTTTTTTTTTTTGTAAATACAAATGAAAAACGAAAAATTTTTGTTAAAATAATTTTTTGTTCTTCATTTGTATTTAGAAATAATTGTTAATTAAATTTGTTTGTAAATACAAAAGAAGAATGAAAAATTTTTGTTAAAAATATTTTTCAATCTTAATTTATATTTACAAAGAAAAGAATAAAGAACGGATTTTTTTTTTGTAAATTTTTGATCAGAATGGACAAACGGCTTTGCACTGTGCGTGCTCAGGGGGCCATTTCGAAGCCGTGGAAGTATTGATAGGACTTGGAGCTTACGTGGATGCTCAAGATAATGAAGGAAACACACCATTGCACGTGACTACGAGAAACAGAGATACAGAGATAGCTCAACTTCTTTTAAAAGTTGGCGCAAACACTGAACTCACTGACGAGGTGAGCAATCAAAAAACTCAACTTTTACTCTTTTTTTTACAAACTTCCAGCGTATATACTATATACCAACACTTTTGAAAACTTTTCAAATTCATTTCCTATTCTTTCAATAAAGTCTTTATGTGTGCCGTCGTGAAATAAGTTTTAGAAAAATCCTTTCAAAAATTTATGTCTTTAATTTTCCTAAGTCACAATTCAGCGGCGCGGATTTCTTGGAAACTTTATTTCATTAATTTTGAAAACTGTACAATTCAAATAGTTTACTATTTGGATTTTTTATTATCATATTTTTTATTTTTACATTTTTACATTTTTATTTTTTTTATTTTCACATTTTTTATAGAAACTACTTATATTTTTATATATTTTTTTTAATTGCTCATTCAGATAAAATTTGTATTTGCATTTTGCACACAATTCATTTCTAAATTTGAACTTGTAAAAATATTTACTAATTTGAATTTGACTTTTTGCTTTTAAATTAGTAATTTTTACTAACAAAATTTATACAAATTACTGTTAATTACTAGAATTTTTGCTTCCAGGCTTCGAACTCGATAATTAATTTTAAAAAAGTAGCTAAAAGTAGCTTTAAAACTGAAAAAAGTAGCAAAAATTTTTTAGGAGAATAATAAATTAATAATTTTTTAAAGTAATAATTTAAATGTTATTACAGTTATACAACAATTAAAATTTTCAACATTTTTAACTTCGATTTTGAAATTTAATTATTTCTAAAAATTCGTATATATGTACTATAACGCTTTTAATATTCAATTATTAAAAATTTTCACAAAAATTAATTTAAAAATCAATTTCCATTAGAAAGTTTAACTAAAAATCAATTATTTAAATACAAGAACAAATAATTTATCGAATAATTGAATATTTCTTAGAATTGAATTCACATAAAGAATTTTATCAAAATTAAAAAAAAATAATTAAATTCCTATGAAGAATTTTATTCAGATTTTTGAAAATAATTGAATTCTCGAGAACAATTTCATTATTTGAATAAATAATTGAATTCTTCTAAAGAATTTTATCAAAATTTAAAAAAAAAATTGAATTCTCGTGACGAATTTGATTCAAATTTTTTTAAATAATTAAATTCCCTTGAAAAATTTTATTGTTTGGAAAAATAATTGAATTCTTGTAAACAAATTTACTCAAATTTTTAAAGATAATTGAATTCCTGAGAAAGATTTTATTATTTATGAAAATAATAACTGAACAACAAAACTCCTAAAAAATTCAATTATTTTCAATAATTTTAAAAAAATTCTTTTAAAAAATTCAATTATTTATCAAAACTTGAATAAAATTCTTCAAAAATTCAATTATTTTTAAAAATTTCAATAAAATTCTTAAAAAATTCAATTATTTTTAAAAATTGAAATAAAATTCTTTAAAAATTCAATTTGCAAGTATTCTAATAAAATTCTTTGAAAATTCAATTATTTTCAAATATTTTAATAAAATTCTTCAAAAATCCAATTATTTTCAAAAATTTTAATGAAATTCTTAAAAAATTCAATTATTTTTAATAAAATTTTTTAAAAATTTAAATATTTTTACGAGAATTTTGATAAAATTCTTTAAAAAAATCAATTATTTTCAGATATTTTAACAAAATTCTTTAAAAATTTAATTATGTAAGACTTGTAAGGAAAAGATAACGTAGTCGGTTAAAATGAATATTTAATATATCAAAAGAGAAAATACAAATAAGACATTTCGTCATGAATCTCTAACGAGAACTGAACTGAAAACGACGCTCCGGCCTCTCGACGGACCCGCGCACATGCGCACTCTCAATGCGGCAATTCAAACAAAATTCAAAATTTAGTAAAAAAGACATTACAAGAAATAACAATAATATATAATTAAAAAGTCATTATATTTTACAATTATTTTCAAATATTTTAATGAAATTCTTAAAAAATTCAATTATTTTCAATTATTTTAATAAATTCTTAAAAAATTCAATTATTTTCAAAGATTTCAACAAAATTCTTTAAAACTCAATTATTTACAAACATTTCAATAACATTCTTAATGAACTCAATTTTTATTAAATATTTTAATAAAATTCTTAAAAAATTCAATTATTTTTAAATATTTTAATAAAATTCCTAAATAATTCAATTTTTTAAATAATTTAATTCTCGTGAAAAATTTGTATTGTTTAAAAAAATAATTGAATTTTTGTTAAGAATTTTATTAAAATTTTTGAAAGGAATTAAATTCCTGAGAAAGATTTTATTACATTTTTGTTAAAAACTGTATAGCTTGCGAAAATAATTGAATTCTTGCAAAGAATTCTATAAACATTTTTTAAATTGATTTTATTCGAAAAATTTTACAAAAATTATATTTTAAATACTTCAATTTCGCAGTGAAAATTTTATTATTTATGAGAATAATTGAATATTTGCGAATGAATTTTCTTAAAATTCTTTTTTATACAATTAAATTCTTTTGTGGAATTTTATTATAATGTTAAATATTAAAAAATGTTATTTAAAAACAAAAAGTCAGTCAAATAGTAAATTTTATTAATAAATTCGTAAAAAATAATATTTATTAGTAAAATTTACTAATTCAACAGCAAAAAGTCAGTAAATCATTCAATTAGTAAACATTTTTTACTAATTCAAAAAAGAGGTGGTTAAAAAAATATTCTTTCAAATAATGAAAAAAATAATAAAAATTTCTATTTTCATGAAAAAAGAAGAAATTAAAAATAATTTCGTATTCAAAAAGTTTCTTCTACCAGAAAGAAAAAAAATTTCTTCTTCAAAACTTTTAATTTAGAACAGAACCCGAAAGTAAAGTGAATGAAAATAATTTTGAAAGAAGAGGAAGAAGAAGAAGAAGAAGAAGAATTTTGAATGAAAAAAAAAATTAGTATTTCAAAACACAATTTGAGTTCTATTTTTGAAAAATTAATATCATTAAAATTCACTCATGAAAGCATTTTTTTTTTATAAAGAGGGGAGTTACTCCGCTTCACGTAGCTGCTAGTCAAGGAGTCAAGGGAATACTCGAATCGATTATTCAACACGGAGGTTTACTCAACAAGCAGTGCAAGGTATATATGTATTTTTCTTCTTTTTTTTATTTTCATTTTTTAAGCTTCAAAAAAAAAAAAAAAAAAGAATCATTCACGCTAAAAAAAAAAATACGTACCAATGAGTTTGAAAGCCGACGAAAATATATAAGCGCCTTAATTAACGAATCCATTAATTCACAGAATGGTAATACACCACTACATTTGGCATGCGAAAGCAATCAAGTTGACACCGTCGAAATTCTTATTAATAAAGGCGCTGAATTAAACAGTCTTAATTCGGTAAGAATAAATTCTTTTTTGCACCATTTTTTTAAACACTTTTTCTGTCAGATATCAAATTGAGAAAAAAAACGAATCAAAAATATTGCAAAGCAATACTTTTGATTCGTTTTTTATCTCAATTTGATATCTGACAGAAAAAGTGTTTATATTTTGCTTTTCAATAAATGCTTCATACAAATTGAATACACTGAATATATTTTATAAAATCGATTTGATTTAAATAACTGATTTCTTGACTATTATCAATTAAATATTTATTTGAATGAAATAATTTTTATTTGAGTCAATTAAATGGTTCAATTCAAATTTTCTTCAAATAATGAAATTAATGGTTCAGATACTAAAATTATTGGTTTAAATACTAAAATTATTGGTTTAAGGGCATTTGAACTATTATGACGTCACAATTTTAGAACACATGCTTTGCACAAATTGTGACGTCATAATGATTCAAATGCCCTTAAGTACTAAAATTATTGGTTCAAATGCCATTTAATTAATATTAATAAAAATTATTTGATTTCAGTAAATAAATTGCAGTAAAAAATTAGTAAAATTTACTTTTCTTTAAAAATAGTAAAATTCCCTTCATAAATAGTAAAATTTACTGTTCAAAATTGTTATTTTCAAAATAGCTTTCAATATTTTTGAAGATAATTTTCTTTTAAAAAATTAGAAAAAATTTCTTAAGAATCAGTAAAATTTACTCTAAAAATAAGAATATTTAATATCTATCTGTAATATACAAGGTAAATTTAAAAAATTTTCATACAAAAAATTGACATTAAATGTAGTAAATTTTGCTAAACTTTTTTTGAAAATCTTTATTTCCAGAGTCAATTATATAAAATATGTTTACAAATTTTATCGAAAATTAATAAAATATAATTTTAATCCCTGCAATTAAACAAATTGAAGGAAATAAAATTTTTAATAATTAGTAAATTAAACAGATTTCCAATTTTTATTAGAAATTATTTAAATATTAATAATAAATTACTAAATTAAAAATAAAAATTAGTCAAATAATCACTTTAAAAAAAAAATATTTGAAACAACTAATTTCTACTTAAATCAATAAAATAACTGTCAATAAAACGTTTCTTTAATTCAACTAAATTTTTCAACTGCGAATATTTTTATATTTCATTAAACTGAAAAAGTTGGAAAAAAAATTTACATAATTTTTGGGAGAAGAAAATACTTTTTTGAATTTCAAATTTTAAATAAATGATTTTTAATTCTATGAAATTCTTTTAAAAAATTAAATTATTTTCAGAAATTTAAATAATATTTTCAAAAAATTCAATTATTTCAAAAAATTTAATGACATTCTTTAAAAATGCAATTAATTTCAGTAATTCTAATACAATTCTTAAAGAATTAAATTATTTTCAAATATTATAATAAAATTCTATAAAAATTCAATTATTGTTTAAAATTTCAATAAACATCTTAAAAAATTCAATTATTTGACAAAATTTTAATAAAATTCTCAAGAAATTCAATTATTTTCAAATATTGTAATAAAATTCTTTAAAAATTCAATTATTTGCCAAAATTTTAATAAAATTCTGAAGAAATTCAATTATTTTCAAATATTATAATCAAAATTCTATAAAAATCTAATTATTGTTTAAAATTTCAGTAAAATTCTTAAAAAATCCAATTATTTTTAGTAATTTTAATACAATTTTTACAAAATTCAATTATTTTCAGAAATTTTAATAAAATTTTCAAAAAATTCAATTACTTTCAAAAAATTTAATGACATTCTTAAAAAATTCAATTATTTGGCAAAATTTTAATAAAATTCTCAAGAAATTCAATTATTTTCAAATATTGTAATAAAATTGTTTAAAAATTTAATTATTTGCCAAAATTTTAATAAAATTATGAAAAAATTCAATAATTTTCAAATATTATAATAAAATTCTATAAAAAGCCAATTATTGTTTAAAATTTCAGTAAAATTCTATAAAAATCCAATTATTGTTTAAAATTTCAATAAAATTATTAAAAAATTCAATTATTTGCAGTAATTTTAATACAATTCTTAAAAAATTCAATTACTTTAAAAAAATTTAATGACATTCTTAAAAAATCCAATTATTTACCAAAATTTTAATAAAATTCTCAAGAAATTCTATTATTTTCAAATATTGTAATAAAATTATTTAAAAATTAAATTATTTGACAAAATTTTGATTTAATTCTCAAGAAATTCAATTATTTTCAATTATTTTAATAAAATTCTTAAAATATTTAATTAATTTCAAAAATTTTAATGAAATTCTTAAAAAATTCAATTATTTGCAAAAATTTTAATAATATTCTTTAAAAAATCAATTATTTTAAAAAATATTATGAATAAAATTCTTAAAAAATTTAATTATTTTTCATACAATTTTAGATAATTTTAATCATTTCTAAATTATTTATATTTCACAGCAAGAAAGTTTTTCTAAAAGTTAATTATTTACACAGAAAAAATCGAGGTATATTGTTTTAAAATTCTTTGTGATTCAAAAATTCTTAAGATTTGAATAATTGCAAAATACTTCGCTAAAAACCAAATTTACAAATATTTTGTATATCAATTAATATTTAAGAAGAAAAGTTCTTTCGGATAAAACAAATTAAAAACTTTTTTTGACTTTTATACCAGAAGAAATGTCTAATAAAAAACTCTTAAAATGTAGAGAAGAAAAAAAATTTATTTTAATTCGAAAGATATTTTCCAGTAAAAAAGAAAATGGGAAAACTCAAAGAAGTGCAATAACACTTCAATTTGTCTCGAAGATTGTAAATATCGATATTCCATTATTCGCACAACATTAAACCAATCGTGAAATATATAATATTAGCGATCATATAATTTTCGATTTCCAAAAATTTATTACAATCGAAAAAAAGCAAAAAAAAAAAAAAAAGAAAAAGAAAATTTCTCATATATACAACTTTTGCTATGCGTTTACGAATTTATTTCCAGAGATTACAATCTCCAATACACATAGCAGCCGAAATGGGACACACGGAAATCTGTAAACTCTTATTAAAAGCAGGTGCAAATATTCAGCAACGAGAGAAGGTAAAATAAAATTTTTTTTCTTTTTTACACCTTTTCTATTCTATATATTTATATTCCTAGTAATCAATCTTTAAACTCTAAAAAAACGATTCGAAAAAAAATTATCCCCGAGAATTTGCATTCTCCAACGCTTTTCTGGAAGAATAGAAATTCGTATAATTTTTCAAGATATACGTATACATATACATTTATCACGGAAAACGTACACCTACACACATATATACAAATCCAGCAAGGAACATTAATCTTCCAGCTCGATATTCCTATACACCTGCTCTATTGAAGATTGCAAAATATTTTTCAAATTTTTCCCTTTTTTCTTTTTTTTTCCTTCTTTCGTCGTGGCTTATATTCGTTGCAAAAATTGTAAGCGATAGAAAGAAATTCACGAATTTAAAAATATATGCAAATATAATCTGCATTTGGAAAATATTTCATAGAACTTGAAAATATTCTACTGAAAAAAAATATTCCAGCTTTGTTAAAGTGTCGAATCGATTTTTTCAAGTATCTGAATTTTTTTAAATCGAGAATATTTCCAATCATGTGGAAATTGTACAAAAAATGAATAAAATGATATTTTTTTCCAGCTTGTTTGAATACTTTTACAACTTTTTACCGTAACTCTTTCAGAACTCAATTATTTTTCAAAATATTTAAAAAAAAATTTTCTCTAAATAAATTATTTTAAATAATTTCGAAAGAGTTTTACAACATTAAATTTATTTTTCAATCAATGAAAAAGTTTTTCAAATAAAAAAAAAAGTTTTACAATTTTTTTTAACACTTTCAGAACTCAATTATTTTTCAGCATTTTTTAAATAAAACTTTTCTCAAAATCAATTATTTTTAATAATTTCCAAAAAAAATTTACAATTTTTTACTATAACTCTTTCAAAAATCAATTATTTTTAAAAATTCTTTAAAAATTCAATTATTTTCAACAATTTTAATGAAATTCTTTAAAATTTCAATTATTTAAAAAAGTGTAATGAAATTCTGTAAAAATTCAATTATTTTTAAAAATTTCAATAAAATTCTTAAAAAATACAATTATTTTTAGAAATTGTAATAAAATTCTTAAAAAATTCAAGTAAAATTTTCAAAAATTGTAACAAAATTCTTCAAATATTTAATTATTTTCAAAAATTTTTTTAAAATTTTTTAAAAATTCAATTATTTTCAAAAAATTGTTTAAAATTCTTAAAAATTCAATTATTTTCAAAAATTTTATAATAAAATTTTTAAAAATTTCAATTATTTAAAAAATTTTAATAAAATTCTTTTAAAAATTCAATTATTTTCAAAAATTTTAATGACATTCTTAAAAAGTGCAATTATTTTTTTTGAATTTCAATAAAATTCTTTAAAAATTCAATTATTTTCAGAAATTTCAATAAAATTCTTAAAAAATTCAATTATTTTTAAAAATTTTAATGAATTTCTTAAAAAAATCAATTATTTTCAGTAATTTTATAAAAATTCTTTAAAAAATTTAATTATTTTCAAATATTTTAATAAAATTCTTAAAAAATTCAATTATTTTCAAATTTTTAAAAAAAATTCTTAAAAAATTCAATTATTTTCAAATTTTTTAACAAAATTCTTAATAAATTTAATTATTTTCAAATTTTTAAATAAAGTTCTTAAAAAATTCAATTATTTTCAAATTTTTTAACAAAATTCTTAAAAAATTCAATTATTTTCAAATTTTTTAACAAAATTCTTAAAAAATTCAATTATTTTCAAAAAATTTAATAGAATTCTTAAAAAATTTAATTATTTTTAATAGAATTTTCGAGAATTTCAATCATTTCTAAGTTAATTATAATTGACAGCTTGAAAAAATTTATTCGAAAAATGAATTATTCTTTGTGTTTTAAAAGTTCTTAAAATTTGAAAAGAATTCAAAAAGAATTAAATTATTTTAAGTTTAAAAATTCTTTTTTTTAATTTAAGTAAAAAATTAGCAAAAGTGAAAATTTGAATAAAGACAAAATATATTTCTCTAGAAACCAAAACAAATATTTTTTGTGAATCAATTATTTTTCACATTTTTTAAATAAAAATTTTCTCAAAATCAATTATTTTGATTAATTTCAAAAAAGATTTACAATTTTTTTACTAACACTTTCAAAACTCAATTATTTTCCACAATTTTTAAATAAAAATTTTCTTTAAGTCAATTATTTTGAATAATTTCGAAAAAGTTTTGCAACTTTAAGAAAACAGTTTTCAAATAAAAAAAAAAGTTTCACATTTTTTTTACTAACACTTTCAAAACTCAATTATTTTCCAAAATTTTTAAATATATTTTGAATAATTTCGAAAAAGTTCTTCTAGAATTGGTGGTCCGCTTAAAAAAGAAAACCTGGAGTGCCAAAGTTAAAAAATATTTTTGATAATTTCGTTTTTAATTAAAAAATTTTTTTGATATACTTTTGCTGAATTTAAAAATATTGTTTGATAAATTTGCTTCTAATTTAAATTAATAAAACATTTTTCGCAAATTCGATTTTAATGAAAAAATAGTTATCTATATAAATTTTTGCCTATAAGCAAAAAATATTTTTCCATGTAGTATGGTATTTTTTAATAAACGAAATTTTGAATTATGAAAGCACGGCGAGGAATTCCCTTTGGCCCTTAAAATGACATTATTCGAATGATATAAATCCCGATGGCTGAATTATGTAACTTGAGTTATATACCAATCGATAAATCAAAAATCGTGCTGCTGGTACACACATACATACTTCATTGATTTCTATTAACTCCTGCGAATGTGGGAATTTATCGCGTCTATTGAACTAAATATCTTGCAGAGTGGAAAAACACCTCTTTACATCGCTGCTCGAGGTAGCTTCACGGCAATCGTCGATATGATCATCAGGACAGCAAGATTGGATTATCCAACTCCGGTAACATTTGTAATAAATATCTATATATAATCCACATTATATATTTCGAATATAATTAGGAATTGTATCGAATTTATTTATTTATTTATTTAACAAAGATTAAAGTTCCTAGAGCTAAAAATATTAAATTATATTGAAATTATATATTTCAAATATAATAGCTTATATAATTAAAAATATAATTCAAAATATGTGATTAATTCTATTTAATTTAGTAAATGTATTGATTATAATTAATTACGTTGAATGTAATTACATTCGATGTAATTAATTACGTTCAGTATATAATTAGTTTTACTCAATACAAGCATATAACTATCGCGTTGAATTTTAAGACCTATTATTTTTTTCTTTTTAAAATTTAAAGGAAATTCATTTAAAAAAAAAGTTTTTCGGAAATATAATTTTTTCAAAAAATACGATTATATTTCAAAACAATTTTTAAAAATAGCAAAAATAAATTCTTTCAAGTATAAAATTTATTTCAGTGAAATTTGACAAAACTTTTAATTATTTAATTTTTTAAAATTAATTCCGAAATTCAATTATCTTCAAATTTAAATTACAATTTTTCAAAAACCTTATTTCTTTTAAAATTTCTACATTAAATTATATTCAAAAATTCAATAATTTTTTTTTAAACAAATATTTAAAAACTTATTGTTATTTATTTTAATTGCAATTTCAAATAATTTCAATGTAAAATAATTTGAAATTTAATTATTTCTATAAAAATTTCAACTGCAATTTTCCCAAAAGTCAATTATTTTTTAGAATTTTGTAGGGATGTTACAAAAATTAAATTTTGTTTTTTCCTGATTTCCAAACAAAAATTCGACATTTTCCCCTAAAGAATATTCTGATTCACTTTAAAAATGATTTAGATTTTTAAAAGAATATTGTCATACATTTATTTACGAAATTTCGATTATTCAAAAATTCTTCAATTAAATATATTATTAGAAAATAAAAACTTCAAATAATTTCAAAAAAAAAAAAATTCAATTAAACTTTTTAAAAAAAAATTAATTCTACAGAATTGTTAGCTAAAAAGTATGAAAAATTAATCAATATTTAATTATAATCTAAAATTTTAACTAAATTTAATTTCTAAATCGATTTTCATTAGAAAATTCTACGAGAATTCAATTATTTAAATACAAAAATAAATGGTAATAATTTATTGAATAATTAAATGTTTCATAGAATTGAATTCACATAAAGAATTTTATCAAAATTTTAAAAAAATAATTGAATTGTGAAAAATTTTATTATTGGGAAAAGTAATTGAATTCTTTAAATACGAAAATAAATAATTCATTGAATAATTAAATGTTTCTTAAAATTGAATTCTTATAAAGAATTTTATGAACAATTTTTTAAATAATTCAATTCTTTTGACGAATTTTAATAAAATTTTTAAAAATAATAAAATTTTTTGATAAATTTGATTACAATTGTATTAAAAATAATTGAAATGTGTTTAAATCGCAAATAACTGCGATGAGTTTTATTATTTATAAAAATAATTAAATTCATAAAAAGTATGATATTATCTATGAATATAATTGAATTATTACGAAGATATTTTTTAAAAATTTGTAAATAACTGAATTCCTGTAAAATTTTTATTATTTACGAAAATAATTAAATGTTTGCGTAGAATTTTAATAAAATTTTTTTAAATAATCAATTAAAAGAATTCTTATAAAATTCTTCTCAAGAATTCAATTATTTTCACATGCAATACAGTCTTTAACGAAAATTTAATTTTTAAAAAAAATTTAATAATGAATTCTTTGCAAGAATTCAATTATATTCACTAGCAATACAATTTTTCACGAAAAAACCAATTATTTAAAATTTTAATAAATTTCTTTACAAAAATTCAATTATTTTTCCAAACAATACAATCTTTCACTACAATTCAATTATTTAAGAATTTTATTACAATTGTTGAAAATAATTGAATTTTTAAAGAATTCTATTAAAATTGTTGAAAATAATTGAATTTTTAAAGAATTTTATTACAATTTTTAGAAATAATTGAATTTTTAAAGAATTTTATTATAATTTTTGAAAATAATTGAATTTTTTAAGAATTTTATTGAAATTTCTAAAAATAATTGAATTTTTAAAGAATTTTATTAAAATTGTTGAAAATAATTTGATTTTTAAAGAATTCTATTAAAATTGTTGAAAATAATTGAATTTTTAAAGAATTTTATTATAATTTTTGAAAATAATTGAATTTTTTAAGAATTTTATTGAAATTTCTAAAAATAATTGAATTTTTAAAGAATTTTATTAAAATTGTTGAAAATAATTTGATTTTTAAAGAATTCTATTAAAATTGTTGAAAATAATTGAATTTTTAAAGAATTTTATTACAATTTTTAGAAATAATTGAATTTTTAAAGAATTTTATTATAATTTTTGAAAATAATTGAATTTTTTAAGAATTTTATTGAAATTTCTAAAAATAATTGAATTTTTAAAGAATTTTATTAAAATTGTTGAAAATAATTTGATTTTTAAAGAATTCTATTAAAATTGTTGAAAATAATTGAATTTTTAAAGAATTTTATTATAATTTTTGAAAATAATTGAATTTTTTAAGAATTTTATTGAAATTTCTAAAAATAATTGAATTTTTAAAGAATTTTATTAAAATTGTTGAAAATAATTTGATTTTTAAAGAATTCTATTAAAATTGTTGAAAATAATTGAATTTTTAAAGAATTTTATTACAATTTTTAGAAATAATTGAATTTTTAAAGAATTTCATTAAAATTGTTGAAAATAATTGGATTTTTAAAGAATTCTATTAAAATTGTTGAAAATAATTGAATTTTTGAAGAATTTTATTACAATTGTTGAAAATAATTAAATTTTTGAAGAATTCTATTAAAATTGTTTAAAATAATTGGATTTTTAAAGAATTTTAGTAAAATTTATGAAAATAATTGAAATTCAGAGAAGAATTTTATTATTGTTAATTTACTTATAATTTATTTTTAATTTTATTAGTTAATAATTTATACTTTATTTATAATTTGCTAATTAATATTTTATACTCTATTTATAATTTTCTAATTAATATTTTATACTCTATTTATAACTTGCTAATTAATATTTTATACCTACTCTATTTATAATTTGCTAATTAATAATAATTTATACTCCATTTATATAATTTAAATAATTATTTAATTACACCAATTGGATCGATTCAATAAATGAAACTATAATTTTCTCAATTCATTTTGCTTTCAATCAGTCTATTTTTATTTCAAACAAGTAAATTAGTTGATATTATTTGCCAGTAATAAAAAGTTATTTCTAAAATGCCGTGTGTCGTTGACGTCACACCGGTCGTCGAGACATTAAAAGTTATCAACCGTATCATTTTTAAACACAAAAATATATAATGTGAGAAAAGTCTGCTGTGAATTAACTTTATTCAATAATTTTTTCTTCTCTTTTTTCTCTCTTAAAATAGCCGCAGTAAATCGTTTTAATTGAATTCCGGAAATGCTATTAATTTAAAGATATTTTTACATATTAGATTTGAAACTAATGAATTATTTATATTAATAATGAAGAGAAGTATTATTTCTTTTTTTCTTTCGTTTTTAATTTATACCTGTATTTTTTATTAATAATTAATTTTTTTAATTTTAAATTAAACCACCGACGGGAATATTTAATTTTCTTGGTCGGTGACATTTGAAATTGTATAAAGAATTAAAAAGTCTTTTTAATAATTTTATCTACTTCGTCATTTTTATAATTTACTTTTTATAATTTAAACTATTTAAAGAGAATTTATTTGATTCGAGGAAACGATAACTTGTCTATTATAAAAATAATAAATATTCTCAAAATAATATTTTCTTAAGTTGTAAAAAAGTTTTCGAGGGAGAAAAAAAAGGGAGGTTTAATTTCTCCACTTGAGAACGCCAAGGTCACCACTAGGTGGCAGTTAAAATTCCAAGAAGGAACTGAACTGCCATCTAGCGGTGACCTTGGCGTTCTCAAGTGGAGATTAACGTCTCCATATTGAATCTCAAGAAGTTCGTTAATATTTTTGGTAGTTCTATAATTATTTCTAATCAAATTTAGAAAGTTTGTCAATTAATATAAACGGATTTTAATTTTTAATTTACTTTCCTTCTCGATATTTTTATCCTCTTCAATTTTTCTAGAGTTTTAGAATTCATTTTTTAACTATAAAATTGATAATTGAAATCACGTTTTAAAAAATTAATTAGTGCCTTTTTGAACGAAATAAGTGAAAGTAATGTATTTACAAAAATAGCAATTAAATTTATTAGTAATTAATTAGTAATTAAATTTTTAGATAAATTTCTAAGAAAAAAAAATAAGTAAAAATTAATAAATAAAAAAAAGAAAATAATTACCTTTAATATAACAGGAAGATACGAATTCCGACAAGGAATTGACACCAGCGAGAAGACGTTGGCGAGAGGATACAAGGGGAAGTATGTCCAATAATAATGGCAGTCTCCCTGATCATATGCGATCAGCTCTTTGGAAATTGGCCCATAAACAATTAGATTCCGGAGATTGGAAAAAATTAGCCCTCCACTGGGCCTTCAATCACGATCAAATCGATGCAATAGAACATCAATACACAGGTGAACAAATAACTCTATAGCACAACAAACTTCTTGCCTTTCAATCTTTCAACTGCTTACAAGTTTACACACTGGGTAATTTCTTCTTCCTCTTTTTTTTTAATAACAAACTGTCAATCTTAAAACAATCATAAAACAATTTTAAAATTTTAGAATGTAGTATTTTTTCGTAGATAAAAATAAATAGAAATTTATAAAATATTTTCTAAAAAAAAACCCCCACTACTAAATTGTCAGTTTGATATTTAAAAAATAAAGTCCAGTTGTAAACTGTTTATTTTGTTTCGATTTTTGTTTTTGAATGTTGTTCGATTCTCTCGTATTTCAAGATTTCAAAAATGATCCAATACTCAAAAAAATATTCTTATTTCATTTGTTTACGAATTTAATTATTAATTTATATAATTTAATTTAATTCATTGTAAAATTATTCAAAAACATCAATAACTTCATTTTTAAGTAAATACTCAATCATTATAATTTTTTCATAGGAATTAAAATTCTTCAAAAGATTTCAAATCAAACCTTGAAATTCAACTTTTGAGAATATTATTATAAAACATAAAGAAATCGATACCGTTACTTCATTAAAATTATTATAAACATTTCAATTCAATTAATTATTCTTTTTTAGAAGTTTTTAAATAAAATTATTTTTTATTTATTTATTTTTTTTTATTTTTAAATGAATTATTATTTTTAATAATTTTTGAAAAAGTTCTTGGAGAATTTTCAAATCCATTTTTTCACAATTCAATTTTACCGAATTTCATTGATTATTCGGAAATTCTTCAATTGTACATTAAAAAAATAAAAACTTGAAATAATTTCAACGAAAATTTAAATAAACTTTTTAAAAAAAATTAATTCTACAGAATCGTTAGTTAAAGGTATGAAAAAATTCATAATATTTAACAATTTTAATTTGAAACCTTTTAAAAACTGAATTATTTCTAAAACAATTCGTACTACCTATAATGCTTTTAATATTCAATTATTTGCGAAAATTTTAAGGTAAATTCATTTTTAAATCAATTTTTGTTAGAAAACTCTACGAGAATTCAAATAATTAAATAGATAAAAAAAATGAATAATTTAATGAAATAATTGAATATTTCTGAAAATTGAATTTTTCATAAAGTATTTTATCTAAAATTTTTACTGAAATTCATTTTTAAATTAATTTTTATTTAAAAATTATTCGAGTATTCAATTATTTAAATAAAAAAATAAATAATTTATTGAATAATTGAATGTTTCTTAAAATTGAATTTTTATAAAGAATTTTATCAGAAAATTTTTAAATAATTGAATTCTTTTGACGAATTTTAATAAAATTTTCAAAAATAATTACATTTTTCAAAAAATTTGATTAAAAATTGTATTAAAAATAATTGAAATTTTTGTGATGAGTTTTATTATTTATGAAAAAAATTGAATTATTGAGAAGGAATTTATAAAAAATTTGTAAATAGGTAATTGAATTTCTGAGAAAAATTTTATTATTTTTAAAGATAATTGAATTCTTGCGAATTTATTTAAATTTGTTTAAATAATTGAAGTCTCGTGAAAAATTTTATTATTTGGAAAAATAATTGAATTTTTTAAATACAAAAATGAATAATTTATTGAATAATTGAATGATTCTTAAAATTGAATTCACTTAAAGAATTTTATCCAAATTTAAAAAAATAATTGAATTCTTTAAATATAAAAATAAATTGTTTATTGCGAATACTTGAATATTGTTGAAAAATGAATTATCATAAAGAATTTTATCAACAATTTTTTTGAATAATTGTATTCTTTTGACGAGTTTTAGTAAAATTTTTAAGAATAATTACATTTTCCGAGGACTTTGATTAAAATTGTAGTAAAAATAATTTAAATTCTGCGATGAAATTTATTATTTATTTTGAAAATAATTGAATTATTGCAAAGAAATTTATAAAAAAAAATTTGTAAATAATTGAATTCCTGAGAAAAATTTTATTATTTTCATAAAAATAATTCAATTGTTGCGAAGAATGTTATTCAAATTTTTTTAAATAATTGAATTCTCATGAAAAATTTAATTATTTAGAAAAATAATTGAATTCTTTCGATAAAAAAATAAATAATTAAATAAGTCTTAAAATTGAATTCGTTAAAGAATTTTATCAAAATTTAAAAAAATTTTTACAAATTGACGAGTTTTAATAAAACTTTTTAGAATAATTACATTTTTCGAGGAATTCGACTAAAATTGTATTAAAAATAATTGAAATTTTGCAATGAATTTTGTTATTTATGAAAACCATTAAATTTCTTAACATATTTGAATTCTTGTAAAAATTTTATTATTTATAAAAAATAATAGAAATTAAATGTTTGCATAGAATTTTATTAAAATTTTTCTTATAAATACTTGAATTCTTTTGAAAAAATTTTGAAAATAATTGAAATTTTCCCAAGTATTTTATTAAAATTTTTGAAAATAATTGAAATTTTGACAAGAATTTTCTTATTTTTAAAGATAAAATTAAAATTTTGACGAGATTTTAAAAAAAAATTTTTGATTATTGGATTTCTGGGAAGAATTTTATTATTTTTGAAAATAATTGAATTTCTGCAATCATTTGTAACGTTTCCAAAATTAAATTCCTTTTACTTTTTTTTAACTACAATTTTTATATAAATCTATTATTTTTAATAATTAAATAAATTTTTATTAAGAAATATTCAACTAGTTTTAGAAGAATTTGAATTATTAAACTTCTTCAAATATGTACGTTTTTTATAAAATTTCTAATGAAATTCATTAAAAATTGAAATTTTATAATATTAAAAATTAAAACCTTTTAAAGTTCATTTATTCATTGAAAATTGTAAACGCAACTCTTCTATAATTCAATATTAATTTTTAACTTTTTGAGTAAATTTTACTTAAATGAATAATTTATTCCTGAAATAATTTATAAGTAATAATTTTATGATATTTGTTTAAGAATTAATTTAATTAAACAGAATTTATTGTCAAAAATAGAATTTTTTTTTAAGAATTCGTGGTAATTTCAAAGTTTATGAGGCAAACGAAAAAGACACAAAAATTCGGAATTTTCTCATGAATTCTAAAAATTTAATTTTTTCCAGTACTTTTAATAAAAATCCCTGATTTCCCTGACTTTTCCCTGAATTAAAATTTTCCCTGGCCAGTGTCAACCCTGTCAAAATGTTAATTACGAAAAAAAAACATTTAATAATTTAATTTAATTCAAAAAAACAAAATAAATAAATTTTTGTATTTCTTATATTAAATGAAAAAAAAAATAGTTAAAATTTGTTTGAAATCACTTGAAAATAATATCGAAAACGAGAGAAGCGAATTACTTTGGAGTTAGTTAGCTTAGCACTTCGTGATTTGCACCTCGTGATGTTCCTGTAAAGAATGAGAGGAGCAGCCTTTTGAAATGGACGATAAAGATGCGCTCGTAGGTCCTTCGAGTTACAAGGAGCACGGATACCGGATGCTGTTAATCTGGGTTTCCGGTCTTCATCCCGAGGTCAATATCATGAAAGAACTACACGAAGCTCTATGTGCAATTGGCAGGAAGACGGCTGCTGGTAAATTCCATTTAATTAACTCTTAATTAAACTAAAATCATTAAAATTAAAATAATTTCAAATTGCGATCAAAAATTCCTCAAAATTATTCATTTTTATTCTTTTCCGATTTCTTTCCTTTTAATTTCCTTCCTTTTATTAATTTACTTTTTTTCGTTTTCATTTCATCTAAAAAATAAAAAGATTGCTTTTAAATTTTCCTTTTATTAAAAATAAATCTTTAATCACAAAGTTTTCAATATAAAAATTTTATTTTTGCCAAAAACAGAAAAAAATTAATTTTTTTTTTACAATTTAAAAGTTTTTAAGACGAGCGAACTATCATAGAAGTAGCTTTTAATTTTTTTCTTTTCCAAAAACGTCAGAAAAAAGTATAATTCAATTATTTAAACATTTTAATTATTCAATTTTTTATTTTTTACACATTCAATTTATTAATTAAAAATTTCCAATTAAAGGAAAGAAACATATACTATAAAAGTTCAAAAAATGAAATAAAACGTATCTTCCCCAGTATAGAGTTAAATAAATGCACGAAAAAAATTTCTATTATATTTTTTTCAGAATCCATTCGCAAACATCAGGACAAAGCATTCGAGGAAAAGTCAAAATCGAGCAAACAACATTGTCATAGATGTACAATAACGTAAATACTGAATTTCAATTGAAAAAGATACATTGATTGTTCAAAAAAGTTGAGTCTCGTTTCCTTTTTTTTTATTCTTTTATTTTTCATCGAAACAAAAAAAAATGATGAAAAAACAAGAGAACTATAATATTTGAAATAAAATTCTAACTAAAGGATAAAATTTCACAAAAGTGAATATTTACGCAGAATATTCAAAATATATATATATATATATATATGTATATACAATAACGTATATGTTGAAATTGGGTGAGAGTTCACAATTACCCATCTACCCAACGGGAAGTTGCCAATGTTAACGATTGGTTCAATAATGGGCCATGCTTGGTGCCCAATGGTTTTTTCTTGGCAAAACAATTGGCAACCATCATTGGACCACCAATGGTTTAAACTTGGGATGATCACGCTACTGCCAATGATCGGTAGCCAAGCATCGGGCCAATATTAGTTGCCAAGGAATTGCCAAGGAAACAAAATCGATTTTCAAAAGCTTGATTTTTTATTGGCAGCCAACAAAAAACCAAGGTTTTGAAAATTGATTTTTTTTAATTATTAATTAAAATTTATTTTTAAAAAATATATTTTTCAAAAATTTATTTTTTAAAAATATATATTTTTTTAAATTAATAGAACATATTAATTTAATTTGTCACCTCTGGTAACACAAAGATGAAAGACTGATAAATTCCCTCACTTTATATCTTACAGTGGAGGGATAACTGTGAATGTCTTTGCGAGAGAGGAGCAGGTACTTATATAGAGCCAGTGAAACAGGTCACAAGCGAGAAAAAATCAATAGCATGCACTCTGGCGGCGCTTGTCGGAACTGTTTTCTGGCGCGCATGCATATCCTGACGTTATCGACACAGCGCTTGGCAACCAACGTTGCGCCACTTCCGACAAGCGCCGCCAGAGTGCATGCTAGTGATTTCTTCTCGCTTGTGACCTGTTTCACTGGCTCTATATAAGTACCTGCTCCTCTCTCGCAAAAACATTCACAGTCATCCCTCCACTGTGAGATATAAAGTGAGGGAATTTATCAGTCTTTCACCTTTGTTTTACCAGAGGTGACAAATTAAATTAATATGTTCTATTAATTTAAAAAAATATATATTTTTGAAAAATATATTTTTTTAAAATTAATTTTTGAAAAATATATTTTTTGAAAATAAATTTTAATTAATAATTAAAAAAAATCAATCTTCAAAACCTTGGTTTTTTGTTGGCTGCCAATAAAAAATCAAGCTTTTAAAAATCGATTTTGTTTTCTTGGCAATTCCTTGGCAACTAATATTGGCCCGATGCTTGGCTACCGATCATTGGCAGTAGCGTGATCATCCCAAGTTTAAACCATTGGTGGTCCAATGATGGTTGCCATTAATGTTCCAATAATGGAACGGAGTTCGCCAAGCATGGCCCATTATTGAACCAATCGTTTACTTCCCATTGGGTACCTATTTCTTTGATGTCGAACAAATAATATTTCGGATTTGAAAATAAATTTATCAAAATAAAATTATATGAATAATTGTTGCAAAAAAAGTATTAATATTTTTTTTTTTTTTTTTTTTTTTTTGGGACAATAAGTTTATAAAAATAGAATTATATAAATAATTGTCCCCCCCAAAAAATATTACCATATCTAATATTAATATTTATTTCAAAAACAAAAATTTTATTTTCTATTACAATATCAATATACAAAAAAAACATTTTTTTTTATGGAAACGGTTCAATTCTCAATGTGCATTGAAAACAAATATATTTAAAAAAAAAAAAAACTGTATAAAGCTGCTTGAAAAATTTCATGACATATTTCTAGAAAATATATAAATGAAACTCTGTGCCAGTAAATAAATCGCTTTTTAGCCCGATTGTTTCTGAAAAAAATTGTGAATAAACTGTAACAATCAATGTTCAAAAAAAAGTAATTAATCGAAAAATTAAATTATAAAAGAAAAACAGCTATAGTTATTAATGAAAAAATTTTTTGAACTCAATGTCTTTTTTCGAAATAAAAATGGTCCAAAATTGTAAATATTCGTGCTTTTGGTGTAACGTCGTGAAATAAATTTACTTCTTTACTGAAAATATTTTCTGTAATTATAATTTATTTCTTTTCTGAATTTAAAAATATTCTTTTTTGTTTTCAAGAAATAAAAATACAATAATTTTTTTCTTTCATTTTACATTTGAAAAAAATGGTAAGTATATATAGTCATATTATTGTTAATTCTATTATTGTACAAAAATCTCGTCTATGGATCGTTTTGATTTTCTTTTTTATATATATAAAAAAACATAGAATAACGTGTCTTGAAGAAGGGAAAATATGATCTTTTATTAATAACTAACTAGTAATTGTAAAATAATAATCAACAATCGTTAATCTTTTTCAAAAACTAACAGGAAGATTTCTTCTTCTATTTTTTCATCCAAAAGAATGAAGATTATTTTTTAAAAATAATTTTGTGAAAGAATTTTTTTAAAATAATTTTTTTCAGAGAATTTATTTAATATTATTTTTTAAAAATCATATTTCAAGAAAATAAACAATGAACTGTTTAAAAAATTTAAATTTTATTATTAAAGTTATTTTCTATACGAACAAATATATCAATTTTCAAGAATTTAAAATCTACAAAATTTTATAGAATTTGCATTCACTGAAAACAAAAATTTATTTGATTCAAACAAACGACATTTTACTATTATCAAATAAATATTTATTTGTATCAAATAATTTATATTTCTTTGATTCAAAGACAATATTAGTTTAAAAGAAATTTTCCTTTTTATTTAAATTTTATTTTTAAATTATTTATTATTATTTATTTTACAAAAATTTTTTTTTTATTTATTTAGATTATAAAGAATTATTTCTTTAATCCTACGTTAAAGGTAAAATTTCTTTGACAAAAAGAATAAATTTCTTGTATCGAAAGAAAATTTCTTTAATTTAAACAAATTTTTTTTAATCCAGAAATTTATTCTTTGAATCCAATTAAAAAATACATAAAAGAAATTTATTCTTTAAATCAAACAATTTTTTCATTGACACAGGGTCAAAGAAATAATTCTTTATTTTCATTCAAAGAAAATTTATTCGAAAAAAAATTTATTTAATTCGAAAAAAAATTCATTTCATTCAAAAACTATTTGTTTCAAAGGAATTTTTCTTCTTAAATTAAAAAACTATTTCTTTGACTCTATAATTAATGATAAAATTTCTTTAATTTTTAAAATTCTTTATTTCAGGAATGTTTTAAAAAATATTTTAAATTTAAAGAAATTTTTTTAAAATTTAAATCAAAGAAAAGTTGTTTGAAAAAAAAGAAATTTTTTTTTTGAATCAAAAACTCTGTTTTTGTTTATAGAAGAAAAGTTTATTTTGTATCAAACAAAACGAATGTAAGAAACTGATTTCTTTGATTTAATAAAATTGAAAAATTAAAATCGAATCATTTTTAAGAAAATCCTCTATAATGAATTTAACGAAAATTTTCATTTACGTATAAATTATTTATAAACAGATTTTTTGAATTTAATTCTTAAAAATTGATATTTTTATTCTGTATTAGAAAATAATATTTTTTTTAGAAAACAATTTTTTTTTTCAAAAAACAATATATATATTTTTTTTAAAAAATAGTATTTTGGAATTTTATTATCAATAGTATTTTGTAAAAAATAATTTTTACAAAATACTATTGATAATAAAATTCCAATTATTTAAATGTTAATTAATTATTTTCCTCGCGATCTACATTCTCTTGGATGAATCAAATTCAAAATGATCCATGAAATAGTAAAAAAGAAAAATACAATAATATTTTGTCACGGATGCGTCGTGTTATAATTAACCTATATAATAATGAAGGTCCTTTGAAGTTGTCGTCGACGCTAAGCGTCGAAACAAATTTTTTCGCCTGAACGAAGAAAAAACAAATGTTTTCAAATTTCAAAAAAAAAATGTTTTAAATGTTTAAAGTTCTTTAGTTACTAAAAAATATTCTGAAAAATTTTGAACTCCCTACTCTCTAAATTTGAATTGGTAAAAGTTTTAAAATCTTTACTAATTTGAACTAGTAACTTACTTTTTGCTTTTAAAATCGTAAATTTTACTAATAAATAGTAATGTCTACTAATTTAATAGTAAAATTTTGCTAATTCTACTAATTTCAAAATTTACTATTTCATTCACTATTTTGAATTAGTTAATTTTACCAATAAACATTATTTCTACTAATTTTTTTAGAAAAATTTATTAATTCAGAATAACGAATGAAATAGTAAATTTTACTAATAAACATTAATATCTACTAATCTTTTTAGTAAAAATTAGTAATTCAGAATAACAAATAAATTAGTAAAATTTACTAATTCTGAACAGTAAATGAAATAATAAATTTTACTAATAAATATATTAATTTTTTAGTAATTTATTAGTAAAATTTATTATTTCATTTACTATTCAGAATGAGTAAAATTTACTAATAAACAACAATTACTAATTTATTTTTTACTTCTTTTTATTATAAATTTTGCCTTAAAAAAATTATATTAAAAAAAGTAAAATTAGTAGAATTAGTAAATTTTACTAATAAATTTATAGAAATGACTATTTATTAGTAAAATTTACTAATTCTGAATAGTAAACGAATTAATAAATTTTACTAATAAATTACTAAAAAAATTAATATTTATTTAGCGAAATTTACTAATTCAAAAGCAAAAAGTGACTAATTCAAATTAGCAATTTCCACTAATTCAAATTTAGAAAGAAAATAACAAAAATTAGTAAAATTACCGACATTTCGATCACTAAAAACCCCAAATAAAAAACTCTTGGACGCTAATCATCGACGCTAACTTCACATCGAGAAAATAATGAAAAGTAAAAAAACAAAAATGAAAAATAATATAGTGAGAGGAAGAAAAACCCTTCTTTTTTTGTTTTATCTTCGATAAGGATGATAATTGGACCCCGTTGCCATCTGACCCCGTTTGGGTCCAAATCCAGAGTGTGCAGAGTCACCGTTTCCTGCGGGAACTTCTGATTTGTTCGTTGATTGATGAGTTGTCGTTAATGCAGGTCCTGTTAAGATTTGATTAAATAACGTAGTAATATAATTAAATAGCAAGCCCGGGATTGGAAAAAAAAATGTTACAAGGAAACAAAGGATCCCAAGGAGAATTGGATTATGGATAATAAATAATTATTATCTTTTTGTTTTCTACTTTTTCGGTGTTGAAGTTTTTTTTGAGAGAAGAAACGTCCCATTTTCTTAGAAGCTCTGGACAAAAGTGACTCTTGATTCCTTTGGCGAAATCACATGATGTGGCTTAAGAAAATCAGCAATTATACTTAATTTTACTTACAAATTAATGCTTAATAATAATAATAATAATAATAATAATAATTTAACATAATACTATACTTAAAGTATATTAGTATTAATTCTTAGTCTATTTATGCTAATTTCTTATTAATAATTAAAATTAAAAAAATTTTAACTAAGTAATTTTAATAATTTATTTAAATTTTAATTAAGAATAGTTTAATAATGAAAAATTGAAATTGTTGATAATTGAACATTGTAAAAGAGAATTTTAACTTTAATTGGAAAAATCGCAGCAGGGATCACATCTTTTTTTAAATTGGCGATTAATTCTTCAATAAAATTAATTATTTAATATTTAAATTCTAAATTTAATTCAAATTCTAAAGTTAAATTTTAAATTAAAAGTAAAATGGTCGAATTTCTCCACTTGAGAACGCGAAGGTCGCCACTAGGTGGCAGCAAAAATTCCAAGAAGGAACTGATCTGACATCTAGCAGTGACCTTGGCGTTCTCAGGTGGAGAATAACGTCTCCATATTGAATTTTCAAGATCTTTGTCAATATTCATAGTTTTATAATTATTTATAAATCAAATTAAGAAAATTTGCCAATTGATATTAACCAGGGTTGCCACGCTTTTGCTCATTTCAAATTCCCTGACTTTTCCAGGTTTTCCAGGTTAAAAAACGGAATTTTTCCAGGTTTATAAAACTACATTATTATATTTTACAAAATTTTTAATTCTAACTTTTTTGAAATTAAAAAACTTATAAAAAATTGTTATAAAACATAAAGAAATCGATCACTCCGAATCTTCGACTCGGAGCAATCGATATATTCATGTTTCATATATAATAATTAAAAATAACCGACTGATAAAATAATTATTTTATTTGATGATAATTTATTTTTACGAGACCTATACTGAAAATAGAATTTTTTCTGAAAAAATTGAATCTCCGAACTCTCATGGTGGGAGTCGAACACCACATCCACTCATTTCCGGTGAGGTGCTCTAACCAATTGAGCTACACGGGAGACAATTGGTTAGATCACCTCACCGGAAATGAGTGGATGTGGTGTTCGACTCTTACCATGAGAGTTCGGAGATTCAATTTTTTCAGAAAAAATTCTATTTTCAGTATAGGTCTCGTAAAAATAAATTATCATCAAATAATAAAACCGAACGTAAAATTATCGACAGATAATCAATCAATCAATAATTATTTTATATTGTAAGAATATTGTTACTGTAACTTATTCAAAATTATTTTCATTATTTTAATTCAATTATTGTTTTCCAGAATTTTTAACTAAAATTCTTCTTTAAATTAATTATTCATTCATTCATTATTAATAATTTCTGAAAAAATTATTACAACATTTTCAAATCCTTTTGTTTACAATTCAATTTTTACGAAATTTCATCGATTATTCAAATATTCGAAAATTCTTCAATCAAATATATATTAGAAAATAAAAATTTCAAATAATTTAAAAAAAATTCAATTGAACTTTTACAAAAAAATTAAATCTACACAATTTTATGTTAAAAGTATAAAAAATTCAAACATTCGAAGATTATAATTTGAAACCTTTTCAAAACTCAATTATTATCTGAAGTTTTAACTGAAATTCATATTTGAATCAATTATTATTAGAAAATTCTACGACAATTCAATTATTTAAATACAAAAAAAAACATTTATATTGAAGAATTGAACTCTCATTTAAAGAATTTTAGCAACAAATTTTTAAATAGGTATAATTAAAATTCTTTTGGCGAATTTCAATCAAATTTTTAAGAATAATTTCATTTTTCGAGAAATTAGATTAAAAATGTATTAAAAATAATTGAATCTCTGTAAAAAATTTTATTGAATTGAGAAAAGTTTTTGAAAATAATTGAAATTTTGTCAAGAATTTTATTAAAATTTTTGAATATAATTGAAATATTTCCAAGAATTTTATTAAAATTTTTCAAAATAATTGAATTTTAGAGAAAAATTTTAATATTTATAAAAATAATTGAAATTTTGACTATAACTTTTTTTAAACTTTTGATCATAATTGAATTTGTGCTAAGAATTTTATTACTTTTGAAAATAATTGAATTCTTGAGACGAATTTTTTAATAACATTTCTTTTTAAATACCTAATTATTTTTAATACAAAAATAAATAATTTATTGAATAATTGAATGTTTCTCAAAATTGAATTCTCATAAAGAAATTTATTGACAAATTTTTAAATTATTGAATTCTTTTGACGAATTTTAATAAAATTATAAGAATAATTACATTTTTCGAGGAATTCGATTAAAATTATATGAAAAATAATTGAAATTCTGCAATGAGTTTTATTATTTATGAAAATAATAATTGAATCCCTGTAAAAAATTGTATTACATATTTATAAAAATAATTGAATCTCTGTAAACATAAATTGATTATTTTTGAAAATAATAGAATTATTGCAAAGAAATTTATAAAAAAAATTTTTAAATAATTAATTTCTTTTTGAAAATTTTATTAAAATAGTAGATATTGAAAAACATTGACTGGAAGAGAATTTTTGAAAAAAAATTGAATTTGTTAAAAAGAATTTCATGAAAATTTTCGAAAATAATTGAATTTTGGAGAAAAATTTTAATATTTATAAAGATAATTGAAATTTTCACGATAATTTTTTTAAACTTTTCACCATAATTGAATTTCCGCGAAGAATTTTATTACTTTTGAAAATAATTAAATTCTTGAGACGAATTTTTTAATAATATTTCTTTTTAAATACCTAATTGAATTCTTTTGTGAAATTTTATTGAAATAGTAGATATTGAAAATAATTGAATTTTGATAAATTATAGAAATTCATGAAATTTCTACGAAGAATTTTATGAAAATTATTTTGGAAAAAAAATTGAATTGTTAAAAAGAATTTCATTAAAATTTTTAAAAATAATTTATTTATTTATTTATGAAAATAATTGTAAATCTATAAATTTTTTTATTATTTATGAAAATCATTGAATCTCTGTAAAAAATTTCATTATTTATGAAAATAATTGAATTATTGCGAAGAAAAATTGTAAAGACAACTATTTTAAGAATGAATTAAAAATTTTGAATTAAGAAAATTGAATTAAAGAAAAATTAGATTTCAAGAATAAGCACAATAACTTTAGAAAACAATAATTTTCCATGATTTCAATAAAAATTCCCTGACTTTTCCAGTTTTGTTTCAAGGTTTATAAAATTCCCTAACATTTCCAGGTTTTCCAGGTTTTCAGGTTGCGTGGCAACCCTGTTAACGGATTTCAATTTTTAATTTCCGATATTATTACGTTCTTTAATTTTTTTAGTCTTAGATTTAATTTCATTATTATCAAACATTGTAAATTAATTACAACCATTGTAAATTCAACTATTATTGAAATATTATATTTTATCAATCGAAAATGAATCGAATTATAAAAAAAGGCTGAAAAAGGTAGCAAATTATCAAAATAGGTAACTATTTTGATAATTTGCTACCTTTTTCACCCTTTTTTCATAATTATAGATAATTATCTGTGATCCCTGAAATAGTCAGTTTAATTTGATCCATTTTCCAAACTCAGTTTCATAAAAAACTAAACCGAAAATTCTTAAATTACTCTTTAAAAATATAAGTATAAAAAATACGATTTTAAAAATGGATTTACTGATTAAAAATTATAATTATAATGAAATTGACAAATACACGTTGCAAAGATAACAAAATCGTAGAATGCACTATTCTAGGTATTTTATATTATCTAATCTTAATTTTATAATAATTCCTGAGGGAAACAATAAAACTTAGTTTGTAAATTAATAATTAATAATTAATAATCAATAATCAATAATCAATAACATTAATAAATTTCATTTAAAATCTTAGTTATTTTAATATTATAGCTAATCTTATAAGTACTGAATAATTTTATAAGTAAATACTAATCTTATAAGTAGTTAGTCTAAGACGACTATTAAGTAACAATCTATTACACAATTTAAATTAATTTAAATTAATTTTTGGATAATTAAAGGATTCTTTTTTTCGAAAAAGGGCCTCTTGTTCATTTCTTTCTTCTTTCACGCTAGGAATAGTGTTTTTCTCATTTTTTTTTTGTTCAACACCTAGCGTCGATAGGGATGATAATTCGTGTGTTGAGTTAAGGAAAATCGTTGGGGACCGGGAGCCGCATCACCATTGGAAAGGAAAATTGGATTTTCAGGTTCGACAGTTTTCAATTTTGGAATTGCAACAACTTCTGTGGGGAAAAAAGAATCGAGAGGATAAGGATTCAAATTTTTATGGGCGCAGATTAAAATTATATACTTAAGTAATTATGTACTTAAAAACTAACTTAAAATCTACTACAAAAAAAAAAAAAACGAAAGAAAGATTGAAATCAAAAAGGACATTTGAATTATTTCAAAATTCAAAATAGAAAAGTTTTCAACTCTTTTTTTTATTATTTTTCACAAGAATCACAGTAGCTTTTTTCATTGAAATAAGGTGAATTATTTTCTAAAAAAAAATAGGTGCGACAAAAAAATATCCCTAAAATTCTGAATATATTCAAATGAACGAAATTTATTCATTTCCTCTTGAAATTTAAATGTTTTTTTGTTTACAACAAAAATTATGTCACGTATTTAAAATTAATTTATAAAGTTTCAAAATGTTTTAATGTTTAGTAAAATTTTAACATAATAAGCAACAAACGA